CGGGTTGCATTGAAAAGGAACTCATTGGAATTTCCTTGTTCTTTGTGCTATTACTTTAGAAAAGCTTCTGTTTCTAACTGCTGGATTTAAATTATTCTGCTGAGGTTTTCCCTGTGACATTGGTCAAACCCCTCCGCATTGATATGGTTATCTCTTTAACTTTTGATATTCTTTACACCATGGAGTGTCTTGTTTTTATGGGTCATGAGACTTTTACTTTTGTTTTTCATAGATGTCATATCTTATCAGTTTTAGCGTATTTGTTTGTTTGAAATCGATAAATGCAGTTTTCGTATATGTTTTTGCTCAAAGACCGGGATGCAAATTTTTTATGAGGGGGGGATAGCCCTGATAAATAGGTGTGAAAACAGCCATTTTTTCAAAACAAAGGTATTTTACTTATACAAGTTAAGTTTTTGACCCCCCCCCCTCCCCCCGGTATCTCGGTCCTTGTTTTTGCTTGCTTTGAAGGAATTTCTAGTCTTCTCTGACAATAGTCAACTTTGTTACGAGGGACTGGGAAGTCAACAATCTTTTTGCTGGGTGAAATTTTGTGATTTTTTTCATCGTCAAGGCAAATATATTTATTTTTTAAATAGACACTGCATTTGTTTCAGCATTTATAATTTTTTTCTGATATAGTGAAACAGTGATTTTCAGTGCATTTGCTGAATAAACCGTAACCTTTACTCTTTGTTTCACGCGAGAGGAATTCCTAGACACTGCTATCAGCTACCATATTGGTTGCAACCATAGTTACATAAGCTTTACCTGCTTTTGCATTGTAAAGAGCTGGAAGTTTTACATACTTTAAAGGATATTTACTAGTTGACGTGTCGAAACTATTTTCGAAATCGTTTAGAGCTGTTCGTATAGATTAAACCCTGTGCCTAAAAGAATGTTGATCGATCATTGTTGTATGATCGAAATGCTTCGACATATTACATTTTGATCTTATCTAGAACCTTGACAACGATAGAGCTGTATGTGTATATGTCTTATCACAGAGATTGGTGAAGACCTTTTCTGTAAACTTTTGTTTTCTTCTTCAGGTTGCTGAGGATGGTATTGCAAGGAAAGTCGGTGGTTTGCAAGAAGGTGATACCCTGGTATATATAAATGGAATTACGTGCCAGTCAAGGGCTAAAGCTATAGAGACAGTAAAGATGGGGAAGAATGAATTGAGATTGAAGTTGAAAAGGTAACTTTTTGTGTAAAGCATCTAAGGTGTTTGGGTATCTGAATAAAAGGTGTTTCCAGAGGACGATGGTGGCTGCCAGGTCATTTTGTCTAGCTGAACAAAGTGTTAGACATCTTTAGACACCAAGCCCAGTAATTAGACATGATGTATTTTGAATCTCTGTAGAAGATGTAGATGCTGTGTCAGAGTATCTTGTTGTTTGATGTTTCGTTACTTGAATTTTGCAGGATTTCATTGTGTGCAACACTGTTAACCAATCAAATCTACGATTACAAGAAAAACCTACCGTTTTCAGTATAATATATTGAAGAAGTTTTACACAAAGTACTAGAGAGTATTTTATTTTGACTGTTCGATGTCAATTGTCATGAGAACATTTTGTAGCCGATCCTTTAAAACTTTTCACCTTGAGTCTGAGGTCATTGTAAGGTAATTCTGGTATAAATGTGCCAGACTTTGCGTTGCACACAACGAAATCCTCCAAAATACATACCCATAATGCAACAATTGCCCCTAGGAACCAGTTTACGGGGCCTCAGAGAAATGTTTATGCTTATGTAACCACGACTGCTCAAATTATTCACAAAAGGATGCCCCCAAAAAATTTGGCCGTTTTGTTTATTTCATCCCTCTGTCAGAAGTAACCAAAACGCTGTTCCAAAACTCACGTGAACATTTTTAGAGATTTAAAGTCCTTTAAGGAGATATTGGGTCACCTTTCGTCAAATAAATCAGCGAAATCCAGTCGTGTTCACCAGGTCAAATGTTTATCACAGTACTGTCAGCGTCAAGCTAAGGTAAAAGATTAAGGAATGTGTGACAATTCTCCAGTTATGATTATTATTATGTTTGTAATGATGGCAGCCTTTATGATGATACTTATCATTATTATTATCATTTTGTAAAAGTAATAAACCTTGGACTGATCGCGATTTAATGGACTTTTAACACGTTCTCATTGTAATGTAACTTAATCTAACTGTCATTTTAAGTTCTATTTTGTTACTTGTAATTTGAAAGACAAGCCTATTGTACTAATAAATGTGAGGTGAAGGATTGTATTTCTTTAATGTTATATTGAATAAAAAGAGTCTAAAAATCATTATGTCTGGGATGAGTGAGATTGTCTTTATGGTTATGATGATTATGATGGCAGTGATGGTGATAGAGATCACAATGATCTGAACGATGCGATCCTCCTTTAAGCTTTTTCTTCATAATCGTTTTTTGGAATTTCATTCTTCAAGAAAGCTTAAGATTTATTTAAACTGTTAATCCATATGTTTTGTCTAGTATTCTTGCTAGCCGTATTGAAACAAGCTCGTGTTGCACAACCATATGCAAGTAAAGTAAAGCTTATTCACAACCGACTTGAAACATGCAGAATTATTTACACCCCACGACAAGCTCGTGGGGATTATAGAAATATGCAAGGAGTTTTTCGCTAAGTTTATATGCAAGTCGGTTTGCTTGGAAATCGGTAGGGAATCCCTGCGATTTCAGAGTTGAAAATTTAATTGTCGATTGAATCACAGTTGAAACTTTAGACGGTTTAACAAGATAAATATATTCTTTGGATTTGTTTCAACAGAAATCAGAGCGCAGATTCTGCCGTAAAAGCCATCGAGTTGAAAACTGGGCCTAAACGCTCTAACAGTTTCTACGAGTCAGTTGTTGAGAATATGTTGGAAAATGTCAGTGATGATATCACTTCGACGCACTATTCAAGAAGAAGGAACACTCTAGAGAGAGAGATGGGCAAAGTGCGGAAAAAACCTTTGGGCGTTATGAAAGAGAGCAGCAATAGTGGTGATGTAAGCGAAGTTATTAGCGAGAGAGAAGAAGGGAAAAGTATAGGCCGATTTAGTCCACCAAGGACTGATTTGAAAACATTGTCACCCCAGTGAGTACAATACGTTATTTAGCAACATTCTTTCAGTACAATTTTAAAGTTATAAGATCCTGCTCCAACTGATTTAAAATGTGTTTTGAACTGAATTTGCAAGTCTGTTGATTTTCAAATTTTCAGGAATTGTTTTTTATTAATCCAGATAAATCATCTTCATTACGCATCATTTGGACAACAATAGATTATTTTGTGATCTATAAAAAGGGAGGCTCGCAGGAAATACTGAGCTGGCCTGCGCTGCGATTAGTTACTGATCACGAATGCAAAAAGTAAATAGTAGCTTTGAATGAGTTTGCCTTTGCGCGTTGCTATTTTTGTTCACATTTTTTTGTTAAGATAAACAATATTGGCAAATGAAAACCAACAAAACGGAAAACTGTCAATTTTCACCCATGTACTTTATCTATCAATGAAAAAATGTTTGCACAGTTTGAAAAATTAAAACTAGCAGACCTGTGGATAATCGTTCGAACGAAAGGGTATGTGTCAGTTTTTCTACTGGTTTGGGGACTGTATGTAAAGCTGGAATTTCAATCGACGAATGCCAGAATTTCTGGCATCACGAAAAATCTTTCTCAGTGTGCAGGGGGTAATTTAACTTAAAACAGTTTGACAAAGTTTGATTCGTTTCATACTTGATTGTTTCTTTCCTGTGCGTGAATAAAAACATCGTGAACAATCCAGGACTTAATTCGTGAATTTAAATTGTGCAACTAAAGTACGCATGAAATGATTTTATATCGTATGAAATTAATAAATTTAAATGCACAAAAGTTTTGTTTTCACGTCATATCAATAACTATGTCATGTTTCCTATAACCACATGATTGCTAAGGTATCGAACTAAAGAGCTCTGGCAGTGAAATGTTTATAGTTAGTTTCATAAGCAGATTTAACGACCCTGCTTTTTCAACCAGTATTCAATGCCTGCTTTAGCCATTCTCTAGGTCGAAGTCCATAACCCTCCCCAGGCTCCGCAACCCGTGATACCCATTTGGTCCACGTCGAGGCTCAAGTCGAACATACTGGACATTGTTTGGATTTTTAAGAAATTTCCTCTTCTGGAATGCTTCAGGAAGGAACTTGTCTGGGATTTACATTTCCTTTGCAAAAATAATTGAAATCCCAATATGGTTATCAAGAATCTCCCCGAGGGATGAAGTTAACCTAAGATAAGAAGTTCTTTTCTTGGCATTCCCTTTTTCAAATCCCACTGTTGCCAAGCGCATGCTTTGATGCATTTTCAATCGGAAATTGATACAAAATTTTGATAATGCCCTTAATATTGTTCATAATTGTTCACCACCAATTTATTATGTTTATAACGAAATTGGCAATTACGGAAGCTGTTAAATACATTTATCTTTTTTGGCACCAGATTATTACTTTGCATTCTAAGATTATTTTAAGTATTCCTTTTTGGCTTGGAAAATTTTTGTTTCTCCTGCCCCGTTTCCTCGGTACATTGGCACACATTTCTCCTAGGCCTGTTATCAAACATCTTATCTTTTAATACAGTAGGCACTTTTAGCTTTAAGTACATTATATTCTTAAACCTTTTAGTATATACTGTACGCTTTCAGTAAATAATTCAACAGATATACATTCTACAAATAACTTTTGACGAGTACACTTAGGATATTTGTTAGACTACTTTGATCTAACATAATGGAAAGATTTAGGTAGAATGGAAGAATTGTTTGAGGAAGCAGAAAGAAAAGGCTTCTGAATGCCATTGATCTGGTGTGCAGTGAAATAAAAGCCAAATTTAGATTGGACAGGCTAGTGTAAGCTAGGAAAAAACATCTGTCCGGATGTATCTGGAAAGGTCCCCCGGATGTGAAAAGTAACAGTGCGGAATGATTTTTTCGTAGTTGATAGAGTGGTTCGGATTCATCGCAAACTCCGCCTTAGATATCTGGTCGGGTGAATCCTACACCTGTTCCGACATTCTAGGAAACACGGGCAGCAGTTATTATCAGTATATTACTGCTTTCCCGATGTTTAGAAAGATTTTAGTTGCTTTAGCTAATTTCTATGCAATTAACCTTTATTGGCTGAATTGATTAGGTCATATATAACCATCTTCGAATTTAATTCCCTGTAACCCTTCCTGTGAATCTATTGCAGAGAAGAAAGGATGCGGTTCGGACAGGCTCAACCTTCACCGAGGAGCTTTCAGCGTGTTAAAATCAAAAGTGTTAACGTGACTTCAGTAATGCCAATCAAGAAGAATGATAGTTCTGAACAGTTTAAAAGTTTGGCAGTTGGTTCTGATCCTCGAAGTGGTAACCAAGCAGCCTCTCCTACAAGCGACGATGCACCACCTTCAGTAACCAGAAACCAGTTAATTAGCGAAGAACCAATCACTTCGTAAGTTTTAAATGTTTTTTATTCAAAATTTAGTGTATTTGAAGAGATTTAATCACAAACCAATAATAAATACCCTGAAATTCTGCGGTGACGGATTTTTTTCATAACTTCACTTGCATTTTCGTAAAATTTGACAAAGATGGAGATTGTATCAATTACTTATCAAGTAACAGATGGTATCAAGTAAATAGTGCTTCGGTTTGTTTTTGGAAATTTTGCAAGCCAATTTGAGGTAATATACGCACGGTGCTAAAGAGTCTAGCGCTATAATGTTGACATTATTATGCGTTGGCGTTGCTCATTTATCATTTGGACTTTCATATTTTCTCTTTTGATTTTCATCCAAGTTACTGTTGTCCTTCAGCCAAGTGTTCGGAAAACATCTCAACCTTTTCACAGATGAAATTTTGCCTTATTTTCCTTCCTCAAATTTTTCTTATATTCTTTGAATAAAGGTTTCTTGGGAATGGAATTCAAGTAAAATCATCTATTTTTTGCTCTTTACGCTTTATCAAGAGAAAGAGGAAAATTTAAGGGCAACGGTAAATTCTTCTCTCTTTATGCTCTCTCGTAAGGCTGTTGATTTGTCTTCCTCCAAACTACTGCACCGTTAGATAACCTCCCTCCGGCTCACCGCTGTGGAACTGTTATGTTTTCTGGACCCTGCGTCAGCCCACGTAGTTAGTGTTCAAGGAACCCTAATATTTCCGCGGAGATGATTAATCATGATAGAAAGGATAGTTTCTATCTTTCCAATTCAATGTAACAACTCAGAAACTTGAAAAGATGAGGCAGAGATAGGTGAAAATAAGCCACATTAGTGCTCAATTTTTTATGCACTTGGGCAGGTGTGCAAGTCTGGACTAATTCGGGTTTTAATGCATTTGCGGTCTAAGTTTAATGTGTATATTGGTAATATAAGGCTGTTCGTATGATGATTTGTGACTGTTGCTGTTGTTGCCTACAGTGGTGCCATATGGAGGCTGGAGGATGCATCTGAAATTATTTGATTATCAAGATGGCGGTAAACTTGGGAAGACAGGGAAATGCGGTCTTTAAATACTTTTAAAAAAGATTATTGACATTATGCATCTGAAATGTCGCATTTCCCAAAAAAAATTAGTTACCTTGCTTCTGGTCACAAAATTCTTGCCTAAATGATAAAGAGGATACACATTTGTCAGCAAAAGGCAAAACTTTGATTGCTTTTGTAGGCATTTTCTTAAGCTTATTTAGCAATATTTGAATCATTTCTATATTTTGTGCACGGCAAGTGTCAGCACCATTTCCTTTTAAAGACCCATGCGACTTTTTTGTTTTAATATGACGTAAGTAGTAGTAAACAAAATTTTACAGGTTTTCGATAAGCACATACGTAACGTTCTATTCAAATCACTGGTTTACAAACAAACAAGTTTACAATTCCAAAATTGGAAATTTCACACCATCACAGTAACTCCTACGTTAAATTTAAATAGAGATTCTGGAATTCTAGGAATGGCAATTCGTCAATTTAAGCGTGTGTAATTACGTCACAGGCGAGAAATGTGTCCTTTTAATGACATTTCTTAACTTCGGCCTGCGTTGTCAATTGTTGACGAGTTCCGACTAAGGTGCGAGTCTGGGTTGGCATTACCCATTGTTCGCAGCTGGAAACTCGATGTGTTTTTAAATACTAGTCAAATCAAATGATTTCTTTGGAATTTTTATTGAACTTGCAATGGTGCAGCTGAGTTAACGATTATGGAGGACATGGAATTGTTTTTTTATTGTGGGCAAGAGAGACAGGTTATTCGGCCTCGCTGGATGTTGGAAAGGTATGCGAATTTACTTGAAGTTTTTTCTAAGAATGCAACACCTTGTTGCAGTGGTATGACTTTTCGACCAGGACATTCTTAAATGCAAAATTTCAGTCATGATAATGCATCGAGGCATCCTCATAACAACTTGCTTCTACTGTTTCTTATGTTGTAGTGTTCAGGTCTGAAGGCCTTAGCCGGCCCTTTACCTTGTCTCTTGCCCCCAATGCTGTCCATTTCGTTACTGTTTTGCTGCTGTATTTGTATCGCCTGATTATCCAAACTAGGACGATTGAGTAGCTAAATGCCGACCCTTATCGGCAATATTTCCATAGTATTGCTGTCATATTTCTTTCTTAGAAATCTTAGGGTACTGCTTTCAACCATCATTTGCCAGGCGCTCTTGTGCAATTTGCCATCGACCTCATACCTTGCCATTTCCGTCTCTTATACTATTGTACTGTTAGCAAAACCTTCGTCATCACAGGCCTCAGTTTCGCGTGATTCTTGTGTATTTTATTTGCTATGTCAACTGCCACCACTAATCTGGTTGCACGATGGTCACGGGGCTTTTCAACTGGAACCTGCAGACGAGATTTGTGATCAAATATCTTACCGTATCATCATTTGGCTTAATTAAGTACTGGTTATTTTAACGAGAATCGAGAAGTAACTGTAAATACAGCAATACTCGTGACCTAGGGTCAATGTTTTGATAAGAGTCAGAGGACAAAAGACATAAGTGCCAACTCAGTGATCGAAGGGCATACACAAACTTCGAGCTGAAAAGAAGTGTCAATTAAATCTTGATGAATTTGTTTCAAAAGCTTTAGAGATCTAAAATAAAATTTTATCTGAGAAAACTTGTGTATCTGAGAAGAGCCAACAAATTTGCGGTCTAAATGGATTCTAATGTAACGAGAAAGGAATGGAAGATAATGTTTTTCAAGTCTAAAAATTGTTTCAAAGTTTATTTATAATATTCAATTTACTTTTTTCTTTGATGATCATCTTCATATATTTTCAGTTTGAAAATGTAACAATAGTAAGTCTACAATAGTTTCTAATGCACACTACCTGAAGTTCACGCTTTCTTGTTTGTTTGGTTGGCTGGTTGGTTGGTTGTTTTGGTTTTTTTGTTAGAATACACGGCATAAGAATTTAAAAGTATCTTGTGCATGGTGGCTCACTTATGTTTTCATTTGCAATTAAAACATATCATTATTGTTATCTGCAACTTAAAACATATACCGATCGATTTTTAGGTCAAATATATTCTAGAGTCAAAATTTGAACGAGAGTCAAAATTGAACAAAAAATTTACGTAGAATTGTTATTGTAGAGATTTCTGCTAACTTTAAATTTCTGCTAAGATATTATAGCGTCTTTCTCTGTGACAAAAATTCTGACGACTACTGTGATCATGATGATTATGATGTTATTATGGTCACGGTAACGATGGTGACACCGTCCTCCCGTAATATGTAGTGTGTGATATTCCTGGTGTTCAGAGGATTTCCGTAGGTTTTGATAAAACAGCTTGCCTAATGATATATTGTTGACACTCTGCTCACGATTCTCAACCTTTGCCTGTATGAGTAATTCCCGGGCAGGGGGATCATTGCTACTAACTATCGATGAATGAACTTAGCAAACCAGCGCTTGTTTCCTACGTTACTCCGTAGAAGAAAACCACCGGTTGCCTTTGTGGTTGCTGTTTTCCTAATTCGTTGCCCCTTACTGTCTCCCTATTTTATGCGCTGATTCAAGTGATGTTTTAAAGTCAGCTACTTGCTTATACACTCTGGAATAGCTTCTGTATAATAAATAAACTGCTACTATAACAAATAAATATAAACGGAGGGCAATTCACTCTTGCAAGTAGCGTACGAGATTTTTCCTAAAACAAAAGGATTTCCAGGGATTTTCATATAAAACAATAGGATTTTCACAAAAGGTGTAAAAGATTTTCTTGGAATGATTTGCCTCTCGAACATAAATGTCAGTTTAAAAGACCCGACTTGTTGTAAAGATAAAGTGATTCCCTTAGACTTAGGCACACAATGATTGTAGCAAAAGTATCTTCCTCAACTTTCTAACTCTCTTTACCAAAGTTTGCCTTCCAGTAAATCAGAATACAATAGTAAATGTTGAGCGTTGGACCTTTCCGTTCATTTGTGTTAATATTACTTTCCTTGCGTAAGATAGCTACTTCGTCACAAATACTGTACAAGCTGTCGACGAGCCTTCTGTTATTGCTAAAAATTTGTCAGTTAATAATCCAGGAATCACGTATACTGAACTGTCAACATCCTCTTTTTCGACCTATCGTCGCTTAAACCCCCTGCAGAATGTTGCGTTTTGTTCCTGTCTGTACAAGTGCTCTGCACTGCCTGTAGCGATAGCATCCCACGATCAGACGTGTATTGATTCGAAGTTCGCTTGTTGCTTTGTTTGGTTTTAACATGTCGGAAATTTGAGCACTAAAAGTTTTATCAGTGTTAAGAGAAAATGGCCATGGATTCTTCCTGGATTAGGTCGAAAGACGACATGCCCTGTCCATTTGCTGTCAGAAAACTGATCAAGAGATGGTGAGCGTTTGCTATGGCCTGAACACTTTTTGTAATTCCATGTAGGGAGTACAATATTGTCAATGCTATCGAAGTAAATTGTAATCATAAAAAGCTTTTGAAGCATGATATCAATATCACATCTCAGGTATCTGTCCAATTTGGTACTTATCTAAACTATATCTTCTACCCAACCCCTCCCCCGAATCTGCCTTGCCAAACTCAAACGGAAATGTATCGTAATGAAGAATAATATCTGTTAGGAACACTGTTACTGTATACTGGCATGGTTAACTTCAGAAAAACCTCATTGAATATAAGAAGGCAGCTGCATTGCAATGTGTGGGTGTATCAAGCCATAGATAAGGCTGTTGTAGAGCTTGTCTATCTCGGGAAACATACTTTAACTTGCTGCAATCCTAATGCTTCTACCGCGAGGCTAACACCATGGGTAAGAGGCACATATTACATTTGTGGAATTTAGCCAGCAGACATATGAACAGTGTTTGTTGCTCATGTTATTCTGAAGTGAAGCATCCTCCTCATAAAAAGAGAAACTGTATTACCTCAGTAAACAGCATTTGGTTTGTGTATCTTTGAAACGTCTTTGATGTTAGAGTGAATATTATGTGTTTAGAAAAGAGGTAACTGCATGGAATAAACAAGAGAAACTTTATTTGCAAGCCCAGTATTTGCAAGTAATTGCAAGTACAGATTGGACGATTTGTGTCCCTCTTTGCAAATGAGCCTATGTGGAATGGTAATTTTCTTTATTAAGCCTATTCACAATACATATTCAATCAATTGCGATATTTCCAAGCTTTATTTGCCCTTTTATGAGCATCAGCCCTATGAGCATGAGCATCAGTTTCAACTTTCAATATTTATACTGCATAGTACTATCTCAGTTCAAAGTTTGAGAGTAATTCACGATGCATCTCTTTGGTCCCTTGTTAAGAACTTGGGGCTTTGTCTGCATTTCGCTTTTTCATAGATTGAAGTACAGAATTGTCTCAGTTTTGTAATTGGGACTTGGAAGGAGCTGTATTGTCCTTTTCATACCTGTATTTGACTGCCTTGCAATGCAAGTCTTAACGTGTGGCAAAATTCCGAGGAAGTGGTTGGCAAACTTTGCTTGAATACTCAAAGATCCTATTTGCACTTACATTTATCTTTCAATGTTTACTTCGTTTTGAGCAAGTCAATAAAAACCCAATCAGATTTTTGTAATTCGCTTTTTAGGTGTCCCACGTACTGGGCCGCTTTTGGGCCAACAAAACATGAAGCATTAGACGTCGATCACGAAGGTCGATTCGTGGCGTCTGTTTTGTTGATATTATAATAATAGAAAGGCTCTGAAAAGATTTGTAGTCTCCCCTAAACTTTTCGCTGGTCAGAAGGCCTCAGTTGATTTGTTTAGCTTGTCTACGTGGACAGACGGTTTGCGTTTCTCATTTGCAAACACATCAGCCTTTAGATGCTGCCTGATTAGCGATACGGAAGCTAATGAAAATATGCCTTTCTTCTTAGGCAAACAAAAAGCATGGATGAAGGGACGCCGAACGCTCAACGTCCTTGGAATGACCGGCAATGTCATAGAAAAGCAAGCCCTCCACCGGTTGCCAGCAAACCGAGCAAAGTTAGGCCGGAGAGCTCGAGCGACTCTTCTTCACCACCAATGACCGTGTCAAAGGCTAGAGCGATGTTTGAAGACCTCTCAAAGTCGCAAGAAAACTTAGATACGATAGGAACATCAAGAAACAATTCTACGTAAGTTTTTTCGTTAAATTTCGACTTTAGTTTGGTTTTTTTGTACAGGTATTTTACTGCTACCTGTAAACAACTGTGACATATGAAAATACTTTTTGATGTCAACAGTATGTTTCACAATTACTGCTTGCTTTTTTAATCGAGGTTATCAGAGGTTATTTGCTATTTAATTGGCATCTTTATTTCATCTATATTTCTTCATTCTGAAAGGGCTGAAGTCGGACGCTATGTATGCTTGAACAACTGTACGATATTTATTGTTAAAACTGAGTGTCTTGCCAAACGCAAGCTTCCTAACGCAAGACAATTCACAATTTATGGTTCTTTCCTGGAAGCTACAAAAGTTGAACTTATTTCGATATAAATTATTTACTCTCCATCTAATCACACGAAAACTAAATTTGTGTAGACTTTAAATTCGGGGCAAGTGATAGGATAAAAATTATAATCCTGTTCCTCCCTAAAATATCAAAATTAATTCTTGTGAATGAAAACCTCTTTAAATTTTAATGGCTATTCAATTTCTAAATCTGAATGAATTATTTAGCTGTTTTAAACAGTTAAGCTGGCTAATAAAGTTATTGCTAAAAGGATTCAACAATTTCAACGTTTTGATAATCTTTTTGTTATGTTCCTTACGTCACCGATTGTTGTGTGTTGTGCTCCGGCAGAATAGATGATACCTGTTCGTGAACAAATGTTTGAACGTGTACGTTCAGCGGTTGGTTACTGTGTGACGTTGTTGTACATACAGACTCATGCTCTAAAAACACTCAGTACACTTTTGATCAATCGGTACGCTGCTGCATGGAGTAAGGGGGGGGGAGAGAGAGAGAGAAAAGAAGGAGATGGCTAATGGCCTAAATCTTTGCTCGTTACTGTTAGGTCACTTACTAAAACGGGGGCCATGTCAAAAAATGAGCATTATTGCTTTTTAGAAAGTGAAGGAAGCAAAGTTTTTAGAAATGAGAAAGTTAGTCACCCTTAGTTACCCAAAAACTGCAGTAAAGTAAAAACTCCTGATTTATTTGAGAGCAACTATTCGTCGCATTTATCAAATTTTCATTTTGATCATTTGAGCATATTTGTACAGGTTAAGTTTCAATTTTATAGAAAATTGTTTTACAAACTGTTACAAATGTTTTAATTAACAGCAAGGCATGCTCGAAAATATGAAGTACCGATAGAGCTTAATGAAACTCCACCCACAGAGACACGATTTTAGTTGCTACTTCTATATGCCTGTTATACACTTGTAAGCCAAACTCAAACTCTTGCCAACTTATTTCTACCGAATTAAGTACATGAGTTGTAGTTTATGTAACATTGTATTCGTTTCGCTATTGAGAAAAACAATCGCCTTATTGTGTATATTCGCCAGAAGCGTGACTCTTCGTTCGAAATCCTCCAAGAAAGTTCCGCTGCTTTACTAAATCTGCCGGATCAACGAGAGCCTCGTATTGATATAGCCCAGTCGTTTCTTTGGCGTAGGCCTAACTGTTGGGTATAGCAAATAAGATTTTTTAAACGCTAGTACAATGAAAAGGGCTTAATTCCTACTGAATTTTGATTGTTTTAATGGTTTCATTACTAACGTTTATAGCCAGCGATCTTAAAGGTTTAAAGAGGATAATCCTGATGTTCGAAGCAATTGGACAGACAAAGGAAAGTTCAAAGTCAATAAATATAAGAGAGATAAACTTGTTACTGTCTTTTCTTCGTCAAAACAGTCTGTCAGGGTGCGAGCAGTGCAGTCCACCCAGGTTTTGGCATAGTTAAGTACTTTTCAAGCATGTGCTAGGGCTAACATTTCTAATTTTATCGCTCTAACTTTCAGGAGTTCGCCGAAAACAGAAAAAAGAGAAATGGCTACAGACAATGCTAAACAAAGCGAGGATTCAAAGAATCCTGCTGCAAATTCTCTTCAGGAACCACTTAGGCCCTGCCATGCTCACACTAAATCCTTACCTCTGGAAAACACGGAAGGGCCTAGAAGAGATATAAGGCGACCAGGATCAGCACCCCATCGCAGGTCAAATAGACAGATTAGACCAAAATCTGCACATTTCGCTTCTGAAGAAGAAAACACAGATTCACAAAACCTACCTCTTGGCTATGCAGCTGTACAATCAAGTCGTCTGGTACACGGAAGAAAGTCAATAGCTACGACAGCTCCGAGTGCCAGTGCTCTTTACAAAAAAGAGTCTTCCTTCAGGCATTCGAGTGAAGATTTGAGGCCATCAGTTGATACATTACGCTGGGGAAAGAAAGCATCAACCCTTCCAGCAAATCAAATGCGGGAAGCTGCGAAAAGGTTTCACAAAGAGCTCATGAAAAAGGACCCTAAATTTCGCTACTCCTTAAATGCAGCCGAGCTACCTGCCAGACCAGCACATCTCGGCTCTTCTACTGGTGGGTCTTCTGGAAGTAGTTTAGGCTCTTCGCAAGATCAACTCAATAACGGTGAGCTACCAAGAAGATCAAGTGGGCCTAACGTTTTCACAAGAGCTTGCTCTACCTCCAGTCTTGACTCATCTCCTGGTCACCCTGATTCGATGCCTTCACCTAACGATGAAGATAACACGATTATGTCTCGTTTATTGCGAGAGCAGCGATTAAGCAGTAATGGAAATCTCAAACGCATCGAAGAAGAGGCTCGCTCTCCAAGAAGTAAAACTTCGCCAAGAGAGGGCAGTCTTTCGTCCAGTGAAACTGTGGAACCAAGTGAAGATCCTGGCAAGAGGACGATCAGTATACAAACTGACTTCACCCCAACTGCATCGAGAAAACGAGAGCTGTTCACCGAAAGGTAAGACATATTGCAAAGCAAACTTTGTTAATAGAAAATTAGATACATGAATGAAATTTCAAAAAATTGAAAATGGCTTATTTTGGGTAAAGGGCAGCTAATTTGCTTTGGTCCATGAAGAAATTTTTTAAATTTGAGAACCAAGAATAAGAAGGTTTTTAGATCCATTTTGAAGGGTTTGATAGCAAAATAAATACACGTATCGGCTCTTTAAAACACATACAACATAGCTGTGTAGACAAACAATACGGCTCTTATCTTAGGTCAGCTTAACGTCTTGCTCATATTTCTTTTCCCGTCACTGTAGACGAATTGTCACAAGCACCATGCACCCATTCAGCGCAACCATAACAACGCAATCGACAATTGAGACATGCATAGATGATGTCGACCCTGCCTTCCTGAGCAGTGCGCCTCTATTTTCCGAAAACATCCCAAAACTTTCCGCTGACGATATCGAACAAACCTCCCACGAAAAAGAACCCAGTGCAGATAGTAATGACGAAATGATTAAAATCAACGAAAATCAAAGCAAAGAAGAGGAAACTGGAGACTTTCCTTTGCCTGACCTGGACGATTTACCACCACCCCCTGAGGAACTACTTATAGCATCCCCACCTGAAAAGGAGAAACCGCAGCGAGTCATAAATCGAAAGAAAAGGGACCATCATTCTGGACTAGGAACAAGCCGTAACAGTTCTTGCGTCAGTACGGATTCAAATGTAAGCACCGCTACAATGGACTCTGGTATTGCTGTAAGAGCATACAGCATGTCTGATTCAAGTCCTAGAAATAGTCCAACAAGAGTCACCTTGGAATTTGAAGATGATTATGATAATCATGGTGTTGATGAAGGGTTCAAAGGTTCACGAGAAGAGCTCGGCGATGCCGATGATTGCCCGACTTGTAATTCGGAACTAATGACTCCACCAAATGAATTAGAACAAAATTTTGAAGGGGAAAAAGATGATGGTGACTCAAATTCCAGGCTAGACTCTTCTGACAGCAGCCAGAACGGAGCTTCAAGGTTAGAGGACCTTGACCATAAAAAGGTAGGGTTATCTCGTTGTTCTAACTAAAGGCCTATGCATTTAATTCCAAACTTGAATTTTTCAAAAACGGTTTTTGAATCCAGACAAATTCTTTGGCTCAGCCCTTCTTTAGTTTGCTATAATTCTAAAGACTTTTATTGAATCCGTCCATGTGGCTTTCGATTCAAAATATCATTTTGTCGCCCAAATTCAAATTTTTCCTGTCACCAAAGGGGCTTGATCAGTTGTATCCTGTTTTATAGTTTTTACATACATGGAGTCTGAAAACTGATACCATCTCAAGAAATTGATTTCCAGAAGACACTACTACATTTATTTAGAAAGATTTTGAAGTAGCTATTACATGACATATTTCCTCGCAAGCCGATGCTTGTACCAGATATTTAGAACAATTATGCTAAATGTTCCATCGATCGTCAAGTAAATTTTTTGTCTAGTATCGTAAATTTTATGCCTTGAAATGAGGTTGATTTCGAATTTGGTACTAAAATTGCTGTTTGATCCTAGGCTACCTTGGTTGAAAGCATGCGAAAGAAAATTGAGGAGCTGAAGCTACAAGAGCAGGAAATTGCTGAGGAAATAAAATTAAATGAAGATTTAGGAAAACATGTAAGGGGTCTGGTAGAAAAGAAGGCAACACAGACGGAATTTTCTAAATATGAACTCTTTATTCGAGAACTGAACAAAATTGTTGCTCTGCTATTGTCCCTTACACAAAGATTACATCGCTATGAACAAATGCTGCAAGATTTGGATATGTCTGAGGAAGAAGACAAAGAAAAAAGGGTAAGCCTTTTGGTTTTTCGGGTTTTTTCACAATTGTTTACGATACCCTGTTAGTTATATGAAATAATGGAGGAAGTCTCAAAAAGCACTTAAACATGTGGGAGGTCTTAAAATTTAGAGTAAAAGTACCCAAAAAGCTTTTTGAAATGACTTGGCCAGCCTTTATTTATATTATTTATTTTAAAATGCTGTTATATTTTTGGAGTATTGAATGCAAATTCTTCTATCGAGTCACAATAAAGCTTTCAGTCTCAAGTTTTTTATTTTACATCTGTTTGTTAATTTAAACTTCTTACTCAATATTTTCTACAAGATTTCCCAACATAAAGTGAAATTTTATAATCCTATATTCCTAGGATACGCTGATATCTAAAATTGACAAATTGCGAAGTCAACACGAGGAAGCTTGTAACTTGCGGGAAGTTAACGACAAACGAGGCGAAAACGTTGCAAACTTCTTAGATAAATATTTCAACGAGGAGGAATTCGCTGACTTTCAGTATTATGTGGACATGAAATCTCAATTAGCTTTGATGCAGTCAGAAATTAAAGAGAAAGTAAAGCTCGGAGAAGAAAGGTACCAAGCTCTTGACAGTACTGGAACCTTTTAACCGGAGATGGCCTCACCAACAGCTAACAGTATTAAATTTTGGAAGGCAGAATATGTCCGGATACGGCCTCACTTCCGTGTGCCAAAGAGCGTGTTCGCCTTTGGTATTCCAATGCTGATGGTCTACGGTCTTTTTCGTACAGAACCACGATCCATCGGTTGTCCTACGGAAACCGATAATGCATCGTAGAACTTCTTGAGCTGTCAATGGGATGTGGCGTGTCTTTATGACCAGAGAGAAACGAATGCGACGAAAGGGGACTAGTGGCAGCGTCACGTAGAACCACTAGAAAGTCTTATTTCAAGTCTTAATTTGAGGATCAATATTTTGTCTTTGAGAAATTATCGTTGCTCTCAAGGTACTGTCACAAATTCCGCTTATCGAAATCCCGATAGGGCCTACGTATGAAATGCCATACGACACAGATAGGGACAACTTTCCTTTTCTGAAATTTTGCATTTTCATCCCTGATATTATTGTGAAATTAAAGTTTTTTAACCATATCATCATATAACCTAACAATTTTATTTCTACAGTTGGCTTGCTCCATCTTGCTTAAATTTGATTACATTTCCTTGCTGAAACTGAAACTCAACCTTCATATTGGACCTTTCAAAATATGCGACAATTTGAGCCTTTGCCTTGTGACATGTGAAATGGCGGGTAGTGCTGTTTCATAAATTGTATGATAATATCTTCAAATAAATGCTTCTGTTTATAGTTGGATTTATCGTAGAAAATTTTCTTAACGAAGAATAAGGTTGTATCTTATTACAAACACTTTAGTTCTTAACTGATGCAGGTAAATCTCGTAGTATATTATTGTATTTCATAGTACCATTACATTTTAGATAATGGTAAGTAACTGTAGTTTCCTATCATTTTAAATGCCTTTTTGAACAATCATCCAGTTTAGAAAACTGTATGCTGATACTAACCATGAGATTTAGGAACATAATATTTTGACATCCATTCCAAAAGAAATGCCAGTTTTTCATTTTTTTGCAGCGTTTTATAAAAATGTCTTTGTGACATCAATTGCAAAATATCCTCGAACCCTACCTGCTTTCTTTAATTTCCAGCCTGAATTGAATAATGATACCCATGTAGCTAAGTACTTTATTTTGACCTATATGTTCTTTAACGAAAATAACTCGACGTCATGCATAACTTCATTTATTTGCCGGATCAAAGAGCGACAATATCTATTGCATATTTTACATTTTTATCCTTATTTATTGCAACTAAATGATTTTAGTATACCCGTAGTAAAAACAAAATACTGACTGATTTGCCACTTGTTTTAATTTCATAAATAATTTTGACAAAAATTATTTCTATGAAAATTTCAAAATTCGTACATTTTGATTAAACTCTCTAGTTTCGATTGGGTTGTTCAAAGTTTTGAAAGGAACCATTTTTATTCAAAGGCGTGGCATATCAAATGCCCGTTTATCTCAGTTGTGATTTTAAGAAGTAGCGATCAAACCCAATAATTTTAATATATTTTATGTTGTATGATTCTTGAATGATGAAAGGAACCATTGTTTACAAAATTTGTTTCTTTTCAATGACTATTTGACGAAATTTTTGCGTAAAATTTTTTAAACCCGTAAGCATTTTCTGATAAGAAGGGAATTCCTTGTATGAACTTGACATTGAATTTTCAACCTTCCCTGTAGGTAAGTTTTTGGCTTAAGGAAATTTACGAAAAATGGGTATTATTCTTACAGTCTGCAGAGTCTATAAGTTGTTTGTTACAGAAAAAAGCTTGATCTCCTTCTTGATTGACCTTCTTGATTGACCATGGGAAGCTTATTAGCACGCCTGCCTAGATTGTGGGACAAAGGGGCAGTTTGTTCCAGGCTATAGCTCTTTACAAAGGGTGTTCAAAAGTTGTAAAAAATATTTCTTTTTAGAGGCCATCACATTGAATAAATTTGGAAAATTTTTGCTTTCGGAGGGGGCCAATGATTTCACCTTCTTTGTTACCAATTGCAGGTTATTTGAATATTTCCAGTACAAGTACATAGTCAGCATCTACCTCCATGAGGGCTTTGGGTTAACAAGTTTTTGATTTCATTAAAGAGACTTAACTGCAGTGGCGTAGCTAGCGGTCATGCTTGTCATGCCGGGCATGACCATCTATTTCCAGAGATAACATTTTTCAAAAAATTATATTTTCGTAAGAATAAAGTCCTATTCTCCTGATGAAATAGCTCAGGCCATTCGCCTTTGGACCCCTATGGTTCCACGCAAGAATATGGAGCCCTCCGAAGGCGCTCTTCTATTGTCGGGCATGACTAAAACAGAGGGTTTCCAATTTAGTCATGCCCATAACTATGAGCATGACCAAACCCTGTGTTTTAGTCATGCCCATAACGCTGGTTCCCTATGTTTGGTCATGCCTAACAATAGGAGTGACGCAGGAGAGAACAAAGGCTAGTCATGCCATTTCGAGAGGGCATGACCATCATTATAATCATCAGAACCGCCCTGTGTTATTTCGTGAACGCGAATGCGAGGCATCGATGGCGGCGCTGCTATGCCTAGTTCCACGAGATGGGAGGTAATTCTCTGTAAGTAAAATGCAAGGAATAGCTTATTGCCAAGCAGCCACGACTCATGTTAATCTCGAGAACATTTTATGGCAATGACAGGGTTTTCAGCCTTAATGGTGTTGCACTATGTGGAGAAGTGACAGGCACAAAAGGCCATTTTTGGACATAAAATCAGCGAGCAGGATCATTATATGCAACCAAACCAAACTCTCAGCCTTTTCAGTAATCAGTTGTTACTAGCTGAACATTTGCAGAGAATCTTCTTGATTTAATGAATGCCAAATCTTGGTGCTGTTCACTGGAGATGGATGGAAGAGATAGCAGTGTTATTTTCCAAACCAACAGATTTGAGAGCTTAAACTTTCCAGACATTTAGCAGCATATTCAGAAACTGTTAAGCCCTTTAAAAGCATTGTTACCATATTATGATTAAGACAATAAGATTGTAGTTAATGGATAGGGAATGCCAAAACTTGCTTAAAGTTATTCTTCAATTTTTTGTTTATTATCACATGCAATAACACTGTTTTTACACACAATTAAAGTCAAACTAAAAGCTCTACTTACTTCACTTGTAGTTGAAATTACCTTTTTACTACTTATAGCTGTTGAAATAAAATGACCAGAGACAAGTCAAGCATGTTACTGATCTTGTTAGTTAAACAGTTTTATTTCATTATTACAACTTGTGTTGTATTTGAAAATTTACAAGATCAAATTGTTTCATTTACAACCCTTGTTTGCTAGATTAAGTAGGAACTATCCAATCATGTGGATATTTGCCACAAGTATATGTGGAAACATCAATGTTTTTGTTAAGCGAAACTTATTTTGCAAGGTATTTTTCTATTAAGTCTAACTTTGCAGAAAACATTTTTCAACTAAGCCTATCCATTTTTTAGCTTCCTATATTTCATATCAATATTTACATTGCATATTCATTTGCCAATTTGTTTTATTCATCTATCAGTTCTATCGAGGTTGTTAATTAATCGTGATGGCTTTAAAATACCTTCAATAGATTGATAATAAGACTATTTGTGGAAAAGATGACCAAAAAGCTCCCATTCAGTTTCATGTGATTTATTGTTTCATTTACAAATTTTAGCTTGTCTCTAAAATTTACAAATGTATTTCAGCCTGCAAATTGAAAGAAATTAGGAGAACATCACAATTTTTTATTTAAGCTAAGTTTATCTACTAAACTAAACTAATGTTTTTTAATGTCTTTTGTACAGTTCTGTTTGGAAATTGTCAGAACTCTGTCTGTATAAATTACCAACAAACCAAAACAGTGTCACAGCTATAAGATAAAGGTCATTTCATGGTGTAACAAGATGATTGCTATGAAATAAGAAAAGCTCATTACAAAAGTTAATCAAAATTTTTTTATAAGTCACAAGCCTTAAAATAAAAATTTCCAAAAGGAACTCATCAACTAAAAAATTGGGCGTGGTAAAATTTGGCCACACCCATATTTTTCAAATTTGAGGGGAGGGCATGACCACTGCTATTTGGCTAGCTACGCCACTGCTTAACTGTTAAAGGATCTTAGCCCAAGTGTTGCTAAAAACCTTAAATATATTATATTTTAACATATATTCATACTTCGATTAATATTTTGACTAAACATTTACCCGCTTTTAAAGATATTAAAGTTTCATAGGCCTTTTTCGCCATGGAATAAAATTACTAAATTAATGTACTCCTGGATGCATAGTTTATGATGGCTGTAAAAAAACTCGAAGCTCCTGGAAAAGATTAAGTATTCAGAGTAGAAGATTTGTGTGTTAATAGCAATAGAATTTTCAAGGGCTATTGCAGAGGTGACGTTTTCCCGTATGCGTGATTTTGCAATATTTTTCCTGAGACAAGCTTGATATTTCCAATGAAAATTAAAACCGAAACAAGAAGATGCCCCATAATTATTACTCTATATATACATATTTTCCTTCAATTATGTATATACTTTCAGTGCAAGAAACAGGCTTGACCACCCCAGGTCACGTGGATCTTGATTCACAGGCAAATGGTAGTACACAGTAGATTAAGGTGGCTTCATTTTATTCGCCGTAATCAAATATGGCGGGCGACTCGGTCACGTTGACCGAGGAATCCAACGAAATACAAAGTGATGATGAGGTACGTCTCACTCTTTTAAAATTGAAATAAGATTTTGGTATCTCTTTAGCTTTCAAATTTTTTTATTGTTTAGAATTACCTAGCAAACATGCCTTTCTACATTTTTGTTAGAAGAAGAACACTCACCAAGACACCAACTAACCTTTCGGTTCGAAGGCTCTTGGGCAAAACTGACGAGGCCCCCTCCACGCGAAACCAGCAGAAAATTATGAGATCACGCCCTTTAGATTAGCCTACATTTGAGATTTTTTCTTGCAGTCATTTTCTTCAAACCATGAAGCGTTTTACTATTTCTAGGCATACTTTTGTTACGTTTGATTAATTCCATTCTTCAAATGAAATTCATTTCTTTCTGGGGCCCTCTAGACCTCGTGGCCCAGGGGCACTTTGTCCAGTCTCCACCCTCTTTACAAAACCTAGACGAGGAGCCCGAAAAATTGAAGGAACTTTACTGGCGACAAAGCCTTAAAAGAACTTTCCAACTTTTTTATCACTTTTATCACTGCAAACAATCAAGAATAAGGTAGCTTGTTCCATTCATTTGCAATCAAACTAACATTAATTTTGTGTTATGTAGGTATCAAGTGCTTCATTTAGAAGTTTCTGATCAAACTTACTGTAGGAAAATATCCCCTCTTCATATTTTGGGCTTTCTGATGCATTTGTGCTATTTTCAGTGCACTGCCATAGATTCACTTTTAAGCCCCCCTTGCAATCAAGCCCCCATCTCTTATTAGCTCCCCTTTTCAGAAGGAAAAATTTAATAAGGTCCCTTTCAATTTAGACCCCCCCCCCAAAAAAAAAGATTCACTGATGCAAAGATAAGTAACCTTGATAAAAAAGGGAGATTTTCATTTTATTAATTGGTTATTCAATGCTTCTCATCAAATCAAAATTCAAAGCATGTTTCTTCAAGTCTTGACAAATTGGAAGACAAAGCTTTAATGTGTATTTAAGAGAGCCTTTTATCAAAATAACATTGAAACTCAGACGGATGCAGTTGACCCAAGGCCCAAAAAGATATTTCAGAATATATAATTGATAAGGATAACGATAACAATATTATTGTTGTAGAACCCTGGTTTGATGTTTCTGATTTTGCAAATGATAAAAAACAAGTCTACCGCTGAAAATGGTTTTTATTACAAATATTCATTAAGCCCCCTCTCTCAGTTTAGCCCCCCTCTCTTATGTTGACTTTATTCTCTCCAAATAACAACCTGAAGAGGCTGAGCAACAATAACCTGAGAAGTTGAGCAATGAATGACATTATATATGTCATATCAAAGTTTCTACTGATCCATTAAAAATCTTTTACTACAAGGAACCTTTGTTTTTTAACTTTATTCTTCAAGTGCTTTTTGATAGTATTGCAGCACCAAAAGCCCCCTCTCTCAATTAAGCCCCCCTTTAAAGAGCTAAAAACAATAAGCTCCCAGGGGGCTTAAAAGATAATTTAGGGTATATTTGCAGTTAGAATTAAGAAATTATGAAGAAACTTTTGGTGCTTCAAAATTCTCAGAATCATATTTGCATAAAGTGTCTCTAATCACATAATTTAAAAAATGAACAGTCACATAATATTAGCTATTAGAAGGTAGCATTGATGCGAAGCATTTGTTTTGATTATATATTGTAAGCAATACAAGCCTTACAACAGCAAGGACAGTACTAGCAGCAATATTGGCATTAACAAATATTTCCATTCCAAAGGTTGACAATCAAAGAAGATGTCCAAGAAATATAATCCTCAAGAGTCAGATTGTTGATATTGCCACCAGTCCAACTTCTGATATAATTGCTGCTGGCAAAATTAATGGAAAAATTACAGTGTAAGTATAACATTAATGCGACAATTTTGATACCATCAAATGTCTAATTGATCCATTGTTACAAACATTGATAGCCCACTGAGCATGGTAGCTCTATTCTCACAAAGCCTCAAATTCAAGATAAGAAACTAAATTTAGGATAGCATCCTTGCTCCTATACCAATTTAAATTGAAGCTTCTAAGTAGTGGGCTAAAGTTGATACCACTTAGTGTGTTAGGAAATGGCTTGGAAAACCGGGTTATAATTCACAAAATATTAGTACACAATGCTCAAAACATAAATCACAGAGGTTGACTTCAAACCCTTCAATAATTCAAAAAATTGGTAACCAACTTGTAGGAATTTTTAAAGATACCCTCTACCTTTTTGCCTTATGCAAACATTTACTTTTTGGATCAAACATCTACTGCATTTTCTCATATGAATTTCTTTTTTGTTTTAGCTGTTCTTTCTCGACTTCAGAACCGAATGCAAAAATATATTCTTTAAAGCACCATAGGAAAGCTTGCAGATCCATTGCATTTTCTTCAGATGGAAAAAGTATGTGTGGATTTATACTAGTGTTATTGATATTTCCAAATTCTATAGTTTAACAGAAAACTAATAAGCAAGTAAGTATCCAGAAAGTTATGTCTTTGTGTAGCTTTGAACTCTGCAATATTATTGGCCAATGATAAAACAATTAAAGGACTCTAGTTACCCGTTTTAGGTCAGTATACTTGTGAGTTTTTGTATCTATAATATGAAGCTTTTTGCTAGATACCTAGCCTATAAGCAGTGGCGGAAATTAAGGCTTTCATTTGGGAGGCCCAGGCCTACGATTTTCCGACAAGATAACATCTTGTGTCATTTCTAATTGTAAGGAGACTGCACATTTTGATGAAAATAGGTGATTTTTGGCGGGACCCTTTAGAAATCTTGGGTGACCATACCATAATCAAGTAGCAAGAAGAACAATCCATTTATGAATTTTGATATCAAGATCGATATCTCATCTAAGACGATTGATGTTACAAGAGGTCGACCGATTACACTTTTGACAAATCGTTCACGATAACAACATGATTGTAATTGTGATGTTCATTTTATGCACTTTATCTTGATTTTTTTCAGTGGGAAATACTTTTGAAAATAACTTTAATTTGGAAGAATCCGATGGAAATTTCGGCTAATCTTTACGGAATTGAAATAAAATGTACAATTCACAAGCAGTTTTGATTTTGGACATATATTGTTTGTTTGATTTTTTAGTACTGGCTGATAATTTATCCGCTTTGCTATGTTCAAATTTTGCAAAAAGGGCACAGAAAGTTATAGAGCAAAGCGTTATATAACACCTTCGAGCGGAGCAAGCAGAAAATTTGGCATTTGCGGGTCTTAGATTAGCTTAAAACATATTTCAGAACGTTTTCTAAATGTAATTTCGACAAGTTTAACGGTTATCAAATATCCGACGAAAGCCCGGAATTTCCGACAACATCGCTGATTGGGGGGGGGGGCAAACCCCCATACCCCAACAATTTTCGCCACTGCCTATAAGCATGCCTAGAAGTTTGGTAGGTTGTCTATTCCAGTTTTATGGCATATGCGTCACCAGAAAGAATCTTTTTAAGCAGACAAAATCTCAGAAGGAAATTAATTTAGCAGTTCTATGCAAGGTGTATTTGGGTATTGTACCTTAAGAATTAAGGAATATTATTTAGAATGATGAGCTGGATATCAGGATAGGCACTACCCGTCGTTTTAATCTGTAGATAACACGCCCTAGTTTTACCTAAATTGCATTTTTAATGTTTCTACCACAGAAAAATATCCCTGACTATGTTTAATGAGTATCTTTTTGCAGAATTACTTACTTCATCTAAAGACAAGACCATTCAAGTTGTCAACATGGACACAGGACAAATTTTAAACAAAATCGAAAATGCTCACAAGTGAGTTATCTTTCCTAGACGTTATCTTTCTCCGTCCCTGGAAAAAAATGGTTACTGTTTTGTTTATTGAAAAAAAGTGCAACGTTTACCAAATAATTGTGCCAGTTTTCTGGTTTTGATACAAAGCTATATATCATGTTACAGGTTAATGGCAATGCCATTCTTACGTTTTCAGTGAAAAAAAATCACATGTAAATTATTCTTAGAAGTTGCCTGATGTTAACACTATCATACCACATTTGTTGTTGCTTTTTTTCTTATTTCTTGCTTAACTTCATATCTGGCTGATGTATTTTTTATACCCTAAAACAGTACCCCAATCTACAAAATAGTCTCAATACAAGACAAATGGATTGCCAGTGGAGATGAGACAGGAAATGTCAAGGTGAGGCTTGCGTTCTGAATCAAACCTAGTTGTTTAGGCAAAAATTCGCATTGCTGAATATAGTTATGGACCTTTGTAATGTTCTAATGGCTATACTGTTTGCAACGTTACTAGAACGAATTTATTAAGAGTTTCTGAATACAGTAGAAACTCAATTTAGTTCCCTAACTTTTAAGCCTCAATCATTCACCTAATTTGAAGAAGAAATTTTAGATAAACCTCCCTTTCTATAAAGCCTCCCTTCTCTCATACAAAAAGACAGTAAAAACGCAAGTGAAAGTTTCTGCATAACATTTCAAGTTTCTAATGTCAAAGAATCTCTACCTAAACAAAGGTTTTTTTCTTTGGCAACCTTCGAGATTGACACAGAACAGAAGATGTTCCTTTGCAACCATCTATAATCGAATATCCTTGGTCAAAAGCCTTCCCTACGTTTGAAAAGTTTCAAAGCAAAAGTGACAATTCTATTGACAAAAGTGACAGTTCCATTGACAAATGACCAGCTAGGTTGTTCGGTTTCAGTACAATCTTGATAACCATACAGACGTTTCAGCTACAAATGCAGTGTTTCTTCCTTCATCTTTTCAAACGAGCCCTCCTTCTCTAGCAAGCCGTCATCTCTAAAAGACCCTCTCTCATTCAAGCCCCCTCAGAAACCTAGAAACTAATAGAGCTTTTTTGTTGCTGATGCTAGCAAATAATGTAACACCGATATTATCGTAGTTAGACATTTGCTTCATTGGATTTTTAGTGATTGTGATTGATGCATAGTCAATTGAGGTGGTTCGAATTCAAGAGAGCACAAAATATGTTAATATAATAGTTAAACATTTTCTAAGTGGTTATTCAGATGCTAACCATTAAAATTGCCGTCACTAGCTTCATAGATCGCTCAATTACTGCTGCTGTGTTATCAGAGAGTCTTCATGGGTCAAGAAAAACTATTCAGCTCTGCTCAGATAGAAAGGAAAAAACTGTAAAGCTAGGACAATATTTGGCTAGATTCACGTATCTCGTCATTATCTTACCCAGTATGCATTCTCGTCATTTCTATCCAGGAAGTGGGATAGAAAAATGAACATTAAGTCAATCTTTGCTGAGACCTGTTCTACATAGGCTTTTATAGTTTACTCAACTGGCAAATTCTGGCTACACTTAGGCCTTTCTAAACGTATTCAACATTTCCTAAAAATATCATAGGTTTCCTTTGCTTGGGTTGTTAATAAGATTTACAGCTGGCTAGGCAATTGAGATCTCTAATTTGGAGCAAATATGAGCAAATAATAACTAGCAGGGAAATATTGTTCATTGGCAGTATAATTTTGTTTGTGACAAATTGTTTCCATAACTATTTCTAATATTAGCTACAAACGTTAACCTTTAGGTTGTTTTTGTTCATGATTAGTGAAATAAAGATGGTCATTCGAAGGGTTATTTGATGACTCGGGCTTGTAAACCAACGAGTTAATTTGATGCATGAGAGGGCTTTCAGTAATAATTAGTCTAATCATTTATAAGGTATATTACTTTTATAAGATATTAGATGTTAACCTTAATAAAAAGTTGATTCTGGTTTCATAGTTTCGAGACATGATCATACAACTTAAGGGTAGTTCCACGTAGTTGACATCTTATAAAATTTTATCTTGCAGCTTTGGGATCAGCATAACTGTAACTGCATCGCAGAATTCAAGGAATGTAAAGATTTCATCTCTGATATGGTATGCGACAAAGAAGGACGAAACCTGCTATGTACTTGGTACGGAATTCAGTTTGAGTTGGCACTTAGGCCTAGCTCAAGATGCAATTTTTTCGAATTCCTACCCATGAATCTTGGTGAATTGATTTTTACATTCCTTTACTTTTTTCTCCTGCAGTGGGGATGGCACGCTGTCTGTTTTCAACGTGCGGGGAAAGAAACTTCGTAGTCAGTCAGACCAACTTGATGATGAGCTAATCTCGCTAGCAATTATGAAGGTACTGTTCCTTTTGTTTATTTTTCACGCAAAAATAACCATAAAAACGAAACATGAAGCGCAAATTTTCTGAAAAAATAGACATGAAAATATGCACAAAGATCTACTTGGTTAGTAGAAAGGCGTCTCTTTATAAAACACAGAGATATTCGAAATAAATGTGCATTTTTGGTGCAAAAACTGTTGGTTGGTGTTAAAACTTTTAGCTACTGCTTTAGAGTGAATATTCAAAGGATAACCAGACTAAAGAAAAATCCTTTAATAGTTCAGATTTCTGCCCTTATACTCTAGATATATGGATCGATCATTGCGTTTGCGAACTTGTTGATGTCAGCGGAGATTGTTCAGTGGCTTATTGTTACTTCAATGTCTGCACCCTGCGCTTCTTTTGTTCGCTCACTAATAGCTGCAGATATGTGCAGTGATGTGGAGGGGAGAGGGATTGACTCCCTTTACCAAAGCTTTCAACTTTATTATGCTTGAATGATTAATACCCTCTAGAGTGGAACAAAAGTGGTGTGCGGAGGAGGTGATGGTACGTTGAATATATACTCTTGGGGCAAGTGGGGTGACGTGAGTGATCGATTCCCTGGACATATGCTGTCTGTAGACTCTCTATGCAAAATGACGGAAGATATTGTGATAACAGGAGGCACAGATGGCAAAATAAGGTTCGTTTCTACACGCTTATATGATCCGTTTTTACCATTTTTATGATTAATACGCCATGAATTTGTGCACATTTTCAAATTGTGCACTGAAAAATTGTTGACTGATATCGAATCTTGTAAATTCAAGTGAGCTGTATCATTCATTGGCAGGTCAGTACACATTCAGCCAAATTACTTTATCTCTGAGATCGGAAAACATGGAAATCTGCCGATTGAAAGACTTCAGATATCACCAGATGGAGACATAGTGGCAAGCTGTTCACACGACAACGTAATAAAGTTCTGGGATATTTCTTGCCTTCATGAACACGAACCGATCACTGGTAAAGCAAAAACCAAGAAGCGAAAAAATGAGATATCTGCATCTCGTGCTAAAGATTTCTTTGCCGATTTATGAGGTAAATTTGGACAGCGATGTTCTAAGCAGGCTTGATCTGCCGTCCGTCCCTCCTCCCTATCTGAAGAAATGCCCAATTTCACTATTTCACACAAAATGTCCCTTTTTGTATCAAAGACAACCAGCGCGTTGGTGCAACAGTCCTCAGCCCCATTAGCAACAATGCTCCAGACGATCTTCAATATAGACATGCTTTGTAACGCCTTTATTAACTAGTTTTTATGTGTATAGTATTCAATTTGGTGGAATACTCCTTAAAGCTAATGGCGATTTTGTTTACCTTACTCGTATGTTGAGCTTTTTATGGTCCACGATAGAGTAAACATTTAGTGTCTTCTTGTTCCCTTTGCACGTTTGCCAATAGTACTTGTTATTCATAATTTTGAACTTCATCAACTTTTTCAATTACTATTCTTGGTAAACCTATCATGCTGTAGAATTTCAATAAAATATCTTCAAAATGAAACATCATGTATTATGACTTTTTACACAAAGTGTTCTCGCTGAACTCTCCAAAGGAACTTGAACGTTTATAAAATATCGATTGGCTGAAACAAAAACCACCAAACACATGTCATAATGGGGGCCAGAATGGTCCAAGAGTCTTCAATGCCATAAATGCTGTTGGGTATCAAGGAATAGTTATCAGAGTAAACGAGGGTCAGAGATAGAACTGCTGGATAAGAAACTAATGATAAGTAAGCTAGAAAGCATTTTGGCTTTCTGATAATCTTTCGAACAAGCGAATAGTAGTGACAGTAAAAGAAACTGAGAAAAAAATTTAATCAACCAACATGTGTAGACAGAAGTAGCTTGTAACCTCTCAGAACAATATGCTATAAAAGCTATTTAAACAATAGAATGAAGAGTTTAACTTTTGAAAACTAGAAAGAAGCATTGTATTCAGATTGTATTCGCATTGCAACTTGAATGTCTTGTCTTAACAATTTCATTTTTTAGTTTTGTATGGCCTGAGTTGGATAAACCCTGTTTTTCTAGGGTTGTGTATAACAGATTTTTGTCTCAATATCTTGAATAACTTTGAATTTTTGTGTTAAACAAATACAATGATATATTTAAATAATCGCAAATACACTTTCTAAAATTGACGCTTGAGTATAATACTATAATACGAACTGCCGCAAGGAACAGCACAGAACTTCTTTCGCTTTTAGCTTATTACTGATCCCTTCAAATCGAGTTTCTTCATTTTTGGCAACAAAGTTCCACTGTTTTTTTATAATCGGATCGCAGGCGCTACCCCTTTTTATTCAAGGTTTGGGGCTTGGTTTACGAAACATTTAAGGTCACAAGACTGGAACTGAAATGATTAAGATAGGAAGAAAATGTTATCAGCAATGAAAGCTGAAACCCGTGGCATTAATTTACAAAAACTTCCTTTCCCAGCCCAATCTGAACAACAGGAATATTTTTTAAACGTAATTTATCGCGGAAGTTTCCTTTTTTTGGCTTTTACGACCGGATTTGCATTAATCCTGGATTCAGCAAATAAGTCATCATTTAACTACTTTAGCAAATTGTATTTGGATGTGCTGTATAAATAATAGTAAATGTTAAATGTAGAATAGTTTATTTCTCAGTAGCTAATGCAAAGTAATGGCCTGCCTGAATGAAAACAGTTTCGTGGGGACTAAATAGATGCAACCAATAAAACTTTTACCTTTCAATATATAAACAATTTTTTCTTATATAGTTTTTATAAAGTTATTCCCAGTTAGACCAAGCGAGATTCATTTACCTGCTTTATTTATTTGTCTCAGGCTCACTGGGTCTGTATTTTGAATGACAATTTACCAGGTTTCACAAAAATGACAAAATGTAATCTAAATGTGTTGCGTATCATACTAAAATACGTGGAAACATTTCTAAAATAAAGATTACAAAACTACCTATGCTACTTCTCCCAATGCACCTGGGTATAACAGTAATTGCTCCGAACTGGAGATATAGTAAGCTTACTATTACTTTTACTACAACTTTCTTTTCTGATTCTGGAAAACCATAGCTCTTGCCTCTACATTCTGGAATATCTTCAAATTTTGAGCACTTTTTTCAAGCTCTATTTGTGTCCCATCAATGTGACAGAATGATACTTTGTACCATTTTTCTTGGGAATGACTCACTGAAATTACCTTTTTGTTCATAGTTTCGGTGGATTCATGAGTAGATTCATAGTGGTGGATTCATAGCTTCACGAGCTAAAATGCGAGTGAAGCTTGATGATACTCTTTTTTTATCGAAAAGAAAAACGTTGCTGAGTATCTTTGTCTCCATACCCGATACCCAACTTTCAATGCAATGACGTCATTTAGACGAAGCATAAAACCGAAGCCATACGTCATCGAAGGCCAGTAACTATTCCAATATCCTTCAAGATTTATCTTTTACGTCACTGTGACCCCACTCTTTCTTCCAATCAAATGTGAATTTTACGCCCGGGTTAATCCATTTTGTAAACTAGGCTCAATACATGCGGGAATTCTTTTTCATCATAGTAAAAACAAATACAAGACTCAAGTTGATCATTGTTGAGATGAAGGAAAATAACAGAACGTTATCGAGTTGCCTCCACACCCAACATTACAAATATTCCAAAACTTTGCATAATACACTATAAATACACAATACAGAACAACACAGCACAATACATTACAATACAATACAGTACAGTACAAATAAGGAAGAAGAATGGAGAAGTGCAAAGAAAGTGGGTTCATTATTAGGAGATATGGAAGATATCAGTTGAAGAAAGCATTTGGCCACAGCATCAATGAACAAGATCAATGCAATATATCTAAAGAAAGATAAAGTAAAGCTTGAGAAGAAATTCAAGATATATAGAGCATTAGTTAAATCAGTGCTGCTCTACAACTGTGGAACATGGGGAGTTTCATCAAATGTACAACAGAGATTGGGTGCATATCACCGCCTAAGCCCCCCCCCCCCCACTTTTTAGACCCCCCACTTTTCTCAACGCTTCGCGGTGCCATTATTTAGTGGCACCTTTTTCTGAAAAGTGCAGAATCATCAGTATCAGTATTTGAAATGTGTGCGGAATTATAGGTACCATTTGAAGAAACATGCAGAGTTATGGTTTCAGAAAATATTGCAAAATTATTAAGAGAGACTTTTTGCATTAAAATATTGATATCGGGTTAGAAATGAAAGTATGAAATATGTGTATATTTGAGATATAGGGGCAAAGGACATACAAACATTTTTGGATGATTTTGTTGTGTTTTAAAGATGTTATTTGCCTTGTGGAATTATGGGCGACATTTTTTCAGACATGGGCGGAATATTGAGTCCAAATTTTTAAACAGAATGGCAGGTCCCCGTCCAAAACGTCTCATTTTGAGGGGAAATGCCAGCTAGAATATGAATAGATCTATGTACGTGTGTATAAGCTGAGTCAAAGAACAGGAGTGGTCTTAAAATATAATCATAGTAAAGAGTGGGTGTATTCAGTCACAGGTGTTACTGCCTAAGAACGCAACGTTGCCAAGCAATTCAAGTTGACGCAAAAGGTATGCACAAACAAGCTGATAAAGCAGATGAATGGTGTGGAGGAAATATGCAAACGAGATACACAAAAGCGAGGCTGCACGAACAGCGCTGTTGCGGTATCAATGAGATCTGTATTGCTATAAATAAGATCTGATTCAGTGTACACTCCTTTTTTCATAAGAACATCTAGGCTCGATTCGCCAAAAGAAGCAACACAAAATTGCTCTTATTATAATGAAACATAGCCGATCCTATCAGCAAAATAACTGATGCTCCTAAAAATGTCCTGCTTAATTGATATTCGGTTGTATTAGAAACAGTATATAGTTTGTAATTGTTTAAAGATGGATTGTTTAAGTAACAATTTTTATAGCAACTAGAAGCTCAAAATATCCAGACAGCATCAATTGTCTTCAGAAATCATCTAGTTCTTGTAAAAAGTAATCTCTAAATGTTGGGGTGAAAAGTATTTGCATCCCCATTCACAATGAATTAAAAATTTGTTTTCTCCCTCACTCCATTCTTTGCTCTCTCCCTCAGTCAAGTCTTATTTCTGTCATCTCACCGAAGTCTCTTTGAAGCCACTTCCTGTATACTGGTCTACCACAAGTAACATTCTTAGCTTCTCTTAAAAAGTTAGCATCTCCATTTTCACTTTGAGATCGTAATCTAAAAAAGCAATGCTTTTACAAATTTTACCTTGATCTGCATGGCCAACTTGTTAAAGCTGACAAAAAGAGCATAGACTTAAGACAAATATTTTTCAAAAAGCTTGAAATTTTTTTCCTTGCCACACTTGGGATATCTTATAAACCTATTGTTTTCCTGGAAAAGCCTCGAGTCACCTCAAGGGACCCAGTTTAACCTGTTTCGACTTCATGCAGGTGCAAATAGTTTGGACGCGCTGGCAGTGCCTTTTAGCCACATTTTTGTTTCGAGCAAGATAGCTTCTGCAAGTTCTTTTCATTTGTCCTAAGCTGATGTTTGTTGTCATTTTCTTTGTTTTAACCGTTTTTTTGTAATTATACCTTGAACATTTTTATTGAATGGAATTGAAACATTTGCTTTTGGATGCGAATTTTCGCTTTCTGTAGTCATGTGCTTGTTTTACAGCTGTATTGGCCTAAATAACTTCCATCGTCAATGCTGCCAAGTCGGAAGATTTCCTTCCATCATTCAAATAAAAAATATAACAGCTAACGTTGTCAAGCAGCATGCGGATCACCACCATTTTCTCACGATGGGCTTGCCATTTTGGTTCAAATAAAGCTTTTTGTTTCTCTTTCATTCATGGAAAACTGTTTCATTGAGCATGGGAATCAACTTCTTAAGCATGCGATGGATTTTCCCTGCTTAGTTTCGTTTTAGCTTTCCTTATCGTACAAATCTATTCAAAGCAAATTCCTGCAAAGCTTGTTATGGTTTTAACTTCTTAGGACTCACATGATGCTCGTCTGTGAGAACATTCTTTAAATATTCTTTTCAATCATTGCAGTATCCTCAATCATTTTCAAATCAGTCGCCAGCTGTTCGCAAAAACATATGTTTAAAAGAAAATAACATGTATGTTAAACTCAAGGCCGTCAAAACCTATTTTGATATTGGAGAGGGGGCAAAATGTTGAAATAGTTGAGAGTTTAGTAAAGGCCACCAAAAACAATTTTCAAAATAGATGGTTTACTAGGGGTGGCCAAAAACTGCATCTAAAATAGATTTAGACTAGAGAAAAAACTGAGACAATATTTTCAAACTTTCTTTTATCACTATACCCCATAGATTCAAGTCCATTTTGACATGAAATAGGCAATGTTTTGTAACGCTTTAGAGTAAATTTTTTAATGCAACGAGTAATCAAATTTTTTATATTAAACAAAGAGCAAAGAAATAAAGAAGAGAAATAGATAAAACACGGTTTAACAAACAATCTCAAAAATGTCAACAGAAGAACTTTTTTAAAACTCAACGACTCTAAACTCTGTTATTTGGATGCTGAGTAAAAGTGATGTCCAAGATATATGGAATCCCTTGACCCTTCAGATCTATTGAAAAATCACAGAAGAATTGTTAGAATCAAAGATAGTTTCTGAAGTATAGGCATCTTGAAATCTGGTATGTTATTGCAATTTTTTTCGTGGCAAGAAAACAAGGAAAATCTTTTTGCAAATTTCCAAGCAAACCAGTCTCGCAAAGTTTGTGGATTCTACAAAAAAGGAGCCCTCATAAGGATGGACTGTGCCACAAAGAGTTTAAACATGAGCTACAAAATAAAGTTGCAAAGAATCCTGATTTTCAGACAAACATGTAGGTACTAATATTTACAAAACTTTTTAAGGGATTTGACCATGATTGACGACTAGGGGGTAAGGTTTCGTCCGGGACGATTTTTGCGGTCAAATCCCTTACAATTTTTTAAACTTCATTTCTCCGTAAATTCTAAAATAATGGTGTAAAACGAGGCCGTAAGTAGTATTGGTGCGTGAGATGCCATGGCAAGGCCACCATGCACCACAGAATAGCCACCAATAATGGCTTTACGCAATTAGTAGCCATGAACAATCAGTTACCAGGTTGTAATGTTTTAGGCCCTTATCCTTAAACAGGTGCTAACCACGTAATTTGAAATTTTTTTCATTACATGCTACGGTTGGTAGATATGTAAGCCAGGTGCCCGACAGGTCTTCGGCTTTCCTTTTCCCATCTTGCACAAAATCAAGGGCTCAAAAACTCAACTCCATTGTAAACCTGAAATAGTCTTCACAAATATAGCAACATGGAACAAGGGTGATGCTCTGAGTTGCAGAAGGCGTTGTAAATACATATTCCGTATCGGCAGTGGCGGCGCCAGCTATTACAGAGTGGGAGGGTAATGGGCGCGGCCAGTGGGACCACGCCCCTTTTGCCTCTTTTCAATGATTTATACCAAGTTAACTTTCCTTAGGAAATTTGATCTACTCCTACCCACCGTTTCTTAATACATTTTTATAGAAGAAATATGTAGACCATATTTTCAGAAAAGTAGGGGGGGGGGTATTTAATGAGCAGGAGAACGAATGGGTTAAAGAGTTAGTTTTACAGTACATGGTTTTTGGATTAATTTATGAATAAATGCAGGAGCGGATTTAAGCAACAATGATTGGGGGGGTGTTAGACACTAATTTTTTGGGGCCACACCCTTCAGGTGACTGGTAAATGATGGAAATGTCCATTTTTTAAATTTGGTTTTCAATTTTAAGGTAAAGACGACGAAAAACAGTGGCATAGCTAGGGTTGAAAGATTGATGGGGCAAAGAGGAGAAAATATTTGCTGAGCAGACCCCCAAGATTTTGGGAAAACACCCGTCTTGTAAATGCGTTTGGAAAAGCTATGGCATTTTACGTGGCAATTTCCCTTTTGACAATGTCATATGTAGCGTTTTATGGCTGACCATATTTCACAACTGTCTATTTCCTTCACCATTCCACTAACGTCTATGTCCTGAATTGTGTAAGGCGAGGAAGCACTACGTGTAAAAAGTGATTTTCCAAAGTTGTTATCAAATATCTAAAAATATTATATTATCAACCAAATCCGTTCCCCTTGGAGCAAAATCCACGAGAATCCAGTTTTTTTTAAGGATTGGATCGCTTTAATAGCATTTTAGTTTCTATTTTATCGGGAATGTCAAGAACGTGAAGGACTTTTCTATACAAACCCCAAAACGAGGGGAAAGTTTTGAAAAATTCTGTGCAGATATTGAGGAGGGTCTCTTGCGAGCAAATCGAGCAAAATTTTTTTGCGACGACGCCCTTGAAATTAGCTTAAAATACAGTTCAGAATATTCATCCCACCCCCTCCCCGCTACGTTACTGATAAGAAGATAAATGCTGCTAAGAAAAAAATAAAGTGAAATCTTGGCGTTATTTTGCAACTACGGACTACCAACAAATGATTTTTACCGAATGAAACAATGTTTACCGACAGACACAGAAATATTAGGGGGAGGGGGGTGTTGCACCCCCTACACCCCGCGTTAAATCCGTCCCTGAATAAATGCGTAACGTTTATACCAATTGGGTTGTAGAGATTATTGAAATGATGCTCTTACTTCGGCTTCATAAGTTTTTCAATGGGAGGATATTAATCTAATTTTATTTCCATTTCATTCATTCATTTCGTGTATATTCTCGGCCTTACAATTCAAGTTCATACTAAGAAATGATGCCAAATAAGTGCTTCTAATAAATATTTAAGATCCAAGATCGTCAGTACAAAGCACATCAATATAAAATGAAAAGAGACGTATATGCCACAAAAATATAATATTGTTGTTTGGAGAATAATCAGTACACTGTTGCGACATCCAAATTAATATTCAGAGCAACAAATCAAAAGTATTGTAAACTAAACATTCTACTGCTACAAGGCGTCAAACTTTAGATGTGGGTCATTAAAATGTTGCCCAAGAGCAGTAAGTAGTGATAGCCAACCACAGTCACTCTGCATTTGTCGTAGGAAGTGGCTTGTCGTTCTCACGTGAATGGCGAGGGGATTAAATATTAATGGCCTAATTAGGGTGGATCAATGAAATACATGAAATCATCAATGGAATTTTCTATTGCCTGAATGAATTGGAGAAAGTTATAAATGACTCATACTAACAATCGATATGGTTATTCATTCCGAGGAAAGACAGGTGTAGAAACGATACTTGTTTTAGCCTAGAATATATCCTGTTTTTCGGGGCAGCAGGTTATTTCAGGCTTTAAATTGGCCGGCATTTCAAAAATTTCACTGAATGACTTATTATAGATTTATTTTTATCCAATGCCCTAATATCAGATTAAAACAATGAATTCTAGATAAAAATTCAGTATCTTTTAATAAATAAGAATTCTGTGTTTTTTAAAGAAATAACCTCTGCTCGAAAACGGAGAATTTTTGCCAAATAAGCTATTTTAAAAAAGCACGACACAAGGAATTTTGAAATCCCAGTGACTGACGAAAAATTGCTAGAGGTATCCCATTCCTAACAAAGCTTTTTGTCGAATTCTTATGACATTGAACCACTGGAAAAGCGCGAGTGTACTAAGGGAAACTCAGGAGACTTTAAATCCTCAATAATTGATGAAATGGCCTATTTTTTTCTGCATATTGTCTGTTTAATTCTGGTCGCCTTGCATTTTTATTGTGAACTTAAAATCAGTGCTTGCAATAAATACCTACAGTGCAAAGACAAATCCTAGGTCACATTTTCTAAACAACATTCGGCTATTGGTAAAAAGTTTTAGGTTTTTTATCCGTACAAGCTGCTGAAATTGCTCATCTTCCCGCAGCCAGTTTCAAGACCTTTCCAAATAGCAAAAATGCTTCACCGAGTAAATTTTCGGATTTATTCTTTCTCGTTTTACTTTCCTTTAAATAGTTATGTTTTTTACAAAGTTCTGAGCACTTTCTGACACTTTTCGACGGTTTCAGACAGCGGTAAAAAAGATTTCTAAAACGAATGGAATATGTGGATAAAATGATCATAAAATAATCTTTTTAGAAATTCCCGTTTCAGGAAGTTTATGATGGGTATTCGGTGTTATGATGGGTACAATAAATATCTTAATTTGTAATCAATAACGACTTTTTGCTGTCCATCACACAAACTTTCGCTAACAAATTTCCTGTTAAAAGTTTCCTCCTAGAAACCGTTAATCACTTCCATACACGTCAATGGATTTTCCATTGAGGTTGGGTCACGTGACGTAAATACCTGCCAAGTGTAGTACAAATCCAAGCGCGCAGCGAAGTGACGACAGAAAAAACATTGAAGAAGTCAGAGGAAGGAAGGCACAGGCGGTGATCCTATGGTTGTTCAACGCTGAGGGTTATAAACAGCGAAGTTTTCTTATTGTCTGCAACTCGGTATCGATTAGATACGGTCTACGAATTTCTCCGTCAGTCGAGACGGGTTGTGGCAAAACGTGGTTGCAAGGTTGGCGGCTGTATCCACAACACTCTTTCACCGACCTGTCGTGTTTGCATTTTGTCGGAAAAGAAAAACTCTCGATCATTCAATCTTCATTAACGACTTTGAGCATTTTTTGTTAAGCTTTGCTTATTTTTGGTGAGCTGCTTCAAAGGATTCACAAACTAAAGTAATGGCGAAATCAGAAGGTATGAAAATTAACTTTTATTTTCGTTCTGTTGTTACGAGAATTTTTGGCCTAACAGCAGGTAGTAATGAAATCTTCGTGAAACAAAAATGTTTTTCTTATAATTTATCAAAACTCGAAAGACTGTGATGTTAGATAGACCCCACGTATTTGTATCTGGATAGAAATCATCGATCCAGGTCACACCTCTTTGCTGCTGAATACAAGCTTTTTGCCCTAAAACACTTAGTTTGAGTATAGGTAGTGTATAACAGAAAATAAGCGTCTGTTTTGATAAATTTGAGCTCTGAAAACGTCTAAAAGTGTATCTCAGTTTTCAGATATGTGAGTGTTAATCATGCCAGAAATGTCATCAGGCGTGTTACCGACTTGTATTCTATGAGAATATGCAATGTTTTTGTTTTACAGTCACTGTCAGGCTTAGGGATGATGATATTGAGCTGGAAGTAACTTCAGCCAATTCAAGGAGAGCTCTTACAGACTTGGATAAAAAAGCAGAAAGCCCCGAAAATGTCGAAAAAAGGGATGCGTGGGGAAACAAGGCTGAATTCATGTTGGCCACGATAGGCCTTGCTGTTGGTCTCGGAAATATATGGAGGTTTCCTTACCTTTGCCAGAAAAATGGAGGAGGTTAGTTTTTTAAATTTCGACTGTTTTCTTCATTTTTCATGCGTGAAAACCCTGGAGCATGTGGCTTTTCCCGCGCTTGGATATCAATTAATCATTGTTTTAAAAACAAATGCGCCAAAATGTGCCACAATACAGGGATTGTTTGGAGAGCAACGTGAGGAAGTTTCTCAATTAGATGGTCTGAAACTTCCTCCTTTATAATAACATTCCCACCGATCCTTGAAATCGCGATCTTTAGAAAAAACAAATAAGCTCTTTGGTCTTGTCTTCTTTCTGTTATTGAAAAATTTTTCAATTGGAAAGTAATAATGTAAATAAATTGATTTTTTAATTTAAAACACGTGTCCCTTTCCATTTACAGGAGCTTTCCTTGTTCCGTTTTTCATTTTCATGGTGATTGAAGGCCTTCCACTCTTCTTTATTGAACTTGGTATGGGACAGCGATTTCGCAAAGTTGCCTTGACAGCATGGCATGACATTCATCCATCCTTATCAGGCATTGGAGTTGGCTGCATTGTAGTGTCCTTCATGTTGTGTATTTATTACATCATTGTTATAACATGGTGTTCCTATTACTTCTTCATATCATTTACAAAAAAACTTCCTTGGCAAAAGGATATTTGTCCTCGCTACAATGAATATAAGACTTTAAAAGACGTGTTAGCCTCCAATGTGACACAAATTGGAAACTTCAGCCGTGCATTATACAACAATGAAACTTTGGCATTGAAAAAACAGATCAAAGACTTCCCTGATTGCTGTATTCAAGATACTCCACAGTGGTACTGGTACAATAAAGCATTGCAGGTTTCATCAGGGTTTGAAGATGTTGGTTCTGGAATGGTAGGCCATCTGGTTGGTTGTCTTGTTTTTGCTTGGGTTGCTGTGTTCTTCTGCATCATGAAAGGAGTCAAAACGAGTGGAAAGGTAACTTATCAATCCAAATTATATCGTCTATAAAATCCATTTACAAGAGAAATTCAGAAAGAGCTAAAAGCCTGTCAGTTATTTAAAAATGTTTGAAAGTTTCTCAGATATGTTTTTGAGGACTCTTTCAGATTCCTGTCTCCTTGCTATGATATATAATTTTCTTTCACAAATGGTAATTATATGATTCCATTGTTCTAAGGCAAGTGTTTTGTTTCACCTAGAAAAATAGAAAACAGGTAGCTTCTTTCATACTGAAAGAATTTTATTGACTGAATAAATTAAATTCAAGTTATGTGGAAGAGTTGTAAAAATAGCTTTGCCAGCCTATTGTTAGCATGTTCTGCCACCAGTGTTATGATTAATACTTTTGTTATATATAAGCCTTTTGAAAGAAAGAATTTCAGCTTGACATCTTGGATTAGTCCAGAGTTTTCCTGTTTCTAAGCAAGTGGATTGTACTTGAATGAGCATGTGTGATGCTCCAAAGCATGTGATCTTCAAACTGCCTTTGGAAAGTAGTGTTTATCCTCTCATATGAGAGACATCTGATAATCCTATTTCATCTTTGATGCAAGAATTTATGCATCTTGACCTTTCTGTGGCTTTTTGCACAGCCACAGCACAAGAGTTTTCTCACCGTCTTAAGTCATAATTTATTTATTTGAAATTTACTTGTTTATGGACAAGTAATTCAAAACATCTTTCCTCTTTTTTCAGTTTAAATTAATAATTAGATGACTAACTCCATTCTAAATGTGATAATTGCATCCATATATCTCAGTAACTAAATATAATTATATGTTTCAAGTATGGCATGAATCTCTAGGCTTACTATGTTAATTCCCTTTTTTACCTATGTTGGGCTAATTGATTTGTTCAGAACAAGCCATTCAGCTGTTTTTGTATATAAACAATGTGCTAGCTGTTGTGTTTCTGAATAAAATACCATCTAGAACAGGTGCTCCTGGAAATGTTTAAGCATAATTAAACTCCTTCAATTCTACTTTCTCTCCCCATTTGTATAATAATTATTATTTTGAGAATAAGAAAATGGAATTGAACTTATATAGACAACTTTTTTTTTGGAAGTACAAACTATTACTTTGATTCTTGATTTGTGATGCTAAATTATGTACTACCCTATATAAATATTTGTTGTAAATACAATGTTAAGAAAATTATTTGGAAAAATAGGACAATATTTTCAGATTTTTTAACTCTTTTTTCATCATCTCTCTTTCAAAATTTCATTAATTAGATTAGAATAAGTTTATATGCTCAAAAAGTCTAACATAATTGCTTGCCTTGTCTGGTACATTATGTATTTTTTTATCTTTTATTTTTAAAAATAATTAAAGTGTTTTCTTTTTTATTTGCTTTTATAGGTTGTTTACTTCACTGCAGTATTTCCATACCTTGTGTTGTTCATCATGTTCTTCAGAGGTGTTACTCTTCCTGGTGCACTCCATGGTATCAAAGTGTTTTTTACACCAGACGTAAGTTTAATCAAGAATCTCTTATTTGCTAAAACGTGTCACTAGTATTTGATGATTTAACCTTTTCGTGACCTTAATTTAATTGTATGACATCATGTATGACATATGGGTATCATGAAAACAGCAACCATTTACAATATTTTTTTCCAGAATATTGAATCATTTGTATTTAGTTTGTCCTTATTTTTACTGTTTATGCCAATTAATGTTATGTCTTGATGCTGGAAGGTCATTTTCAAAAATAAGTATAATTGAATAAGTTTCTGTCTCTTTTGCAACGATTATCACATCTCTTCTTATCGTTCATCTGCTTCCCATTTGGTTTTTTAATCAATAGCATTCGGATCCATGTTTTTTGTGATATCAACTCCAGTTCATTTTTCTGCCATTATCTTTTTTCAGTGGTCAAGACTTCTTGAAGCACAGATTTGGATGGATGCAGCTACCCAGATCTTCTTTTCTCTGAGTCTTGGTTTTGGTGCTTTGATTGCATTTGCAAGTTACAACCCTGTGCACAATAACATGATGAGAGATGCCTATATTGTTGTCATCAGCGACTGTCTGACCGCTGTTTTGGGGGGTGTAGTCATCTTCTCCATTCTTGGCCATAGGCACTATCTCACAGGAATACCTGTTGAAAAGGTAACATGAACAAACGATACTAGATGATGTGTATCTAATCTAGATTACAAGCTTTACATCAAGAATGCTACCCAATACCGGCTCTTCATTATGTATAGTTGTTTTTTTAAAGTATATATATTCTCCTTTTTGCTCTAAGTGTTTGTCCCATGGCTGTGCAAAGCCTTGCTATTTCTGCTATATTCAAAATGGCAACACCTATAAAGACCCAGAAGCTTTTCTAGTTCCAAGTTTACAAAAACCTGTACAACTTAGCCATATATACAATTAGCTTGTCATTAAAGCTGCAGAAATGCATGATGTGTTGCAAGGTATCTTGATGTCACATTTCTATGTTTTTCAGGTTGGCTCTGGCCCTGGGCTTGCTTTTGTGACAATTTCAGATGCAATATTGCTCATGGATGTGTCACCATTGTGGGCCATACTCTTCTTTTTTATGCTTATATTACTTGGAATTGATTCAGAATTTGGCACACTTGAAGCTGCAGTGGCACCCTTCTTTGAGATGAAAATTGTCAAGATGAAGAAACCTTTGTTTATTGGTATGTAATCATACTTTGAAAAAAAATAATTCCTCTTGCTACCTGAAATTTTCATCACAAGGACAGAAAAATGAGTTTCAGCTTAAGACACTTTTAGCTTTTGAAGATCAAATTATCAAACTACAAGCATAGCAATTAGTGTTCTAGCTTCCACCATTTATGGATGAAAGCTAAAAAGACACAGAAACTTTAGATATGACTATTTCATAAAAACATTAGAATTACTATTGGTGTCTTCTTGTAGGTATCTGCATCACTGCCATGTTCTTTGTTGGTTTGTCGATGGTGACTGGCCCTGGCTATTACATTTTTCAAATTTTTGATGAGTATTCTGTTACAATACCATTGCTGGTGATCACATTATGTCAGGCACTTGCTATTGGCTGGATTTATGGTGCAGACAAGTGAGTCTTTTTTTAATTTTTTTTCTTCTTGTTTTACCAAATGCATCTTATCAGGTTCTCCTATACAATTTTTCTCTCAACTTGATCTCTTGTTCTGAAGAAATGTCATCAGTCTTGTTGTAATGGAAAATTTTTGAATCAGGCTTCATACCTGCAACTTTTGCTGTGATGTTGTGAGGCCCAGTCTTTTCAAAATGTAACTTTCTCAGTAGGTTCTTGAACAAGCTGGGTATATAAGCTGGTTTAAATGGTTACTTTTGTTCCTATGGGATCATGCAGCCACTTGTCAGATCTATGTCTGCTGCTGCTATATCCAGATGAGCTGTCTGATCACACTAGACATATAAAATAGAAGTGTGTTGTCTAGGAAAGCCAGTCCGCTTTTTATGACAGGCATCATTGCTAATTGCTAGACAGGGGTTTGTGGGGAGAATCCCACATTTTTCAGGAAGATATATTGTAAATGATTGATAACTAAATGTTTTTGGTTACATTATTTTGGAGCATTCAGTAGAATCTTTATCCATTGATTATATGTTGTTTCCAATATTGCAGTTTCTATTAAAGTATGTGGAGAACACTAAGTCTGGGAAGGGTCTGACTGGTGTATGATTTTTGATCAATTACTTCATACATTTATGCATAAAATAAAAGTGCTGAGTCTGCATAAATGGTGATGATAATAGAAATGGAGTAAGCATGACTCGGGTGAATGGAGGTCTAAGCAAAAGTAATGGGAATGTCCTGTGATATGCAATATTAGTCATGCTATCACGGATATGGTATTATCAATGGATGTCAAAGAAAGTGAGGGGAAGACCGCGTTAATTACAAAGTTTAAGGCCACCCACTTAAATCATACAATTTACCGATTGCGGGATGTTCAATCCTAAAGACAATGATATTGTAGAAAGGTCATTTCAAGCCTGTCAAAGTGCTGTCTCACGATGACCAAGTCTTAGTCAACAATTTTTTTTTATACGTAAAGAAATTAAGATTAAGCCAGGAGTTAAGAAGTTTGACAGCGGTATCTTGCTAGTGATTGTCTGAACATGCTTCAAACAGGAAGCATGCTTCCAAAGTTTTTATGACCAAATGTTCTTATGCCGCTGTGATCATTTTGAGCCAGTACTCCGCTCACATCGTGACATAATGACAATACTGCTATAGATTTCATGACTATGCTCATCAATTCAAGATTTAGCCAACCTCAGTTTTAACCCCAAGGCTCTAGGCTCTATTCGATGCCAAAAGAATTTATCTCTCGAAACTTTGGCTCAATAATTGTTTACAGAAATTTTTCTTCTAGTCCTTTGAGCCTTTACAGAATGTGTGTCTTTACAGAAAGGTTATAAGACGTTTTGACAGCCATTCCATTCTATATAAATTTTAAGCCTTTTTGCTCGTGTCTGGGTTATTCTCCTAAATGCTGGTAGGCACGGAATAAATATATTGCGACATGCCACATAGGAGAGGAATTTTCTCTCTTTCTTCAAATGCACGTAAAACCAAATGAGATTATGTTTGCCATTCATTAAAAATTTATTCAAAACAAAAGATGAAAGGTTTTTTATTTCGGGAGTCTATAATAAATACGGTTTTCAGCCAGCTTTGCGTCATTTGCAAAAAAAGACAAAGGGTTGCGTCCTCTATAGACTAGTAGCTTATGCAAAGAAGGTATTAAGGAGATAATAGAGAAGAGAGGTGCAGAGGACAACAGAAATAGACGAAAGAAAGCCTGGTTTCTCTCCTAGTGTTTTGCCTCCTCCACAACCCTATACTTATTCCGTGCTTGATACAATAACTGCAAACTGTCGAACGATATTATACGATAGACTATGTATCAAGATAAAAACACAAGGTTGCATTAAATGGACTGGGAATGGGAATAAGTGAGCGTTCACAGTTGAAACCGGTGACCAGTCTGCATAAGTTTGTAAATTAGCAAATAAGGTCAAACAATTTTAATGTGAATATGTGCCTTTTTCTGCTTTGAAATACTCCAAATAATTATAGATGATTTATTAATAATGATAGAAGGGGTAAAAATGCTGTGGGGCAAGGACGGACACTTGGTTTAATATTGGGGGAAGCCTATTGTTTTGATAAGATGATGTCACATTTTCCCATTGTTTTAGAACAAAAAACCCTCGCCCCCCCCCCCCCCCCTCCGTCACTGCAGTGAAGTCAAATGTTACCCAAATGAATAAGAAACGCAGTGGACTAACTGAAAGTAAAGAATCCTTAAATTGAGCGTATCTAACACCCATCTAACCATTTGTTTTGGGAAATTGCTTTATTCAGGATGATGTACGGCCTACAGCTTCAAATTATCAGTTTGAAATTACATGCCAACAGCATTTGAACATATTTCTTATTAACGCTCGTTTGTAGTTTCTGTATGATTGATATCCATTTCTTGCTATTGCTATTTGTTACTCTGATATCTTTTTGCAGATTTGCTGATGACATCGAATTCATGACTGGCAAACGCCCATGGACCTTCTGGATGTTCTGCTGGAAGTACCTCTCGCCGTTGGCTTTGATTGTCATTTTGATATGGACAATCGTGGAACAAGTATCAAAGAAACCATCTTATTCGGCCTACGTGGGCTGTAAACAGGTGAGACGCGTTCTTGTTTTCTCTTAGGGAGCTCTGGAAAACACAACATGTATCAGAACATTACTTTCAGAACTATCAAAACTTTGGAACCGAATTAGAATTGAGTTGCTGTTATCCGTAACATTATAATTTTCATCACAGAGGGGCGTAAGGGAAGGTGTTCTTTAAATAATCACCCAGAAGATACATTTTATTTTCATCATAGACCATCGATTTTCCCTGTTCCTTTCCATTTTTTGATAGAAGAAACTGCTCAGCATATTTTTATCGTTGTGCGATATGTTTACAAATTTAGTCGTAGACGCAGACTGTCTTTGATTCATGCTTACCAGAATTCATGCTTGTCCAGTATTTATATTTCTAAAAAGCAAGTACCTTTTTAGGACCCAGCTGACAGGTCCCGGCATCCTGGCTCAGATGACTGGGTTGCGAAATTCCCTTACCCCATTTGGGCACAGTGCCTTGCTGTCGTTCTTGTATGTGCCAGCTGCCTGCCTATTCCCTATTACGCCATCAAATACTGGCCTAGCAACTTCAAGCAAGGATTCAAGGCCCGCTTCTGCAGTGGCATTGCAAACTACATGCCGGATCCATCATCCTGGAAGAAACGACATAACCACAAAGATATGATGTACGACCCTGCTTTGCCTTCCGATCCAGAGGCCATATAAACGTCACTCAATGCAAAAGTTAAATTTAAAATTTATTTATATATATTTATGTCGCCAAAGCGCTAGGAATTTTGTCACTGGGAAATACTTTCTTTGATTCAGAGGACCTTGCTAAGGCCATCTTTGGTTTGGAATTTCAATACCTCGTGTTTTCTAGTCTCTTGATTTTGCACTAATGTTATAAAGCTTTTTGATTTGAGCGCTTTTTTGGATCATCTTATGATTGTATAAAAATTTGCGCATAAAAATACTACACTTTGGAAGAAAAAATGTATGCAAAATGATATTTGTCCTCTGCTTCATGGAATTGATTCCCATTCAGTTCAAATGCATTATCCCATTTAGCTAACCTTTAAATTTTCGTTGTTTTCGTTTTGCAGCAGGCCTGCAGCCCGTTTAAATGTTTCTTTGCGTCCTTAATTTAATATTTAATTCTTTAACTTTATTCAAATTGTTGTTGCTGTTCCTTGTGAGCGTTACCAAACGTACGATATATTTTACTTCTTCCCCATATCAAAGTTTGGCTCTGCCCAAATAATTTGGTTGTTAGGCTTATGCCCTGGTTTTTCTTGGACGCTGCACAGCTTTGTAGATAATGGATTTGTTAGAATTACATTGTTGTCTTACTCTAAATGTATTGTCAAACCCAGGACTAAAACAAGAGTTTGGATATAAGTGCTGGTTTTCTCAGTTCTGGATCGCTGTTTTCGGTTTGCAAGGGTCCTATTTGAAAGAGATTTGGAAGTTTGTTGACATGCAAGTAATACCTAGATGCCCGTTAATTTGATCAGAAGTACACGTTTTCAAAACCGTATTCATTTGTGACGAAAATACTAGGTTCTAACACGCGAAGTCTATAGAAAGTTCGTCTTGAGATTAATGTTGAATTTATGCAAGATAAAGCCGTTTGATGTAACGAATGCAAAATCACTTTGCTATTTTAAGGAACAGCAACAGCACCATAAACTTAACTTATCGTTATGGGGCTCATCCCTAGAAAACTTTGTTAGTTGCAATTTGAATGCCTAACTTTATTGTCGCAAAATTAGTGTTGAAAGTACCATTGTGTGAGTTTACTGTAAATAAATTATAGTTTTGACTTTGATGCTTTCTTGTTCTTAGATATTGTTTATGAACAAACCAGTTGCTAGCGTCAAGCTGGTTTTTCAAATCATAGTTTATAGTAAATTGTAAATATTTGTATATAGTTGCTTTATATGTTTTTCAGAAATAGACTGTGATGACTTTACTGAAGTAAGAAGGAACACCTAAGTGTTTTCAGTGGGACGTCTTTTAGAGAACGCTGAAGCTACTTCCAGCTCATAGGTTTGATCCATTGGCCTCAAACCAACCTGGCAAGATCTTTTTGAAATGGAAATTTTAGTATCCCTTTTCCCTGATCTTGCACCCTTAGCTCGTGCCAATTTCTAAGAACTGTGACGTTACTGTACGTGAGTTGTACTGCAGAATGTACATCCAAGCTTGCATTTCATCTCCAACATTACTTCAGAAAGAAGTCTTTAACCTTGACTGTATTAGCTTAGTCTTAATACTATTGGCTTAAATTTTTTTTCTATGTTTTCCCTGTTTCGTATAAGAGTGACCAGTGTACTAATAAATGTAACTCAGATCGCTGCCCTGAAAATGTCTCACCATCAATCAATCAATCTCCTCTCCCTCTCTCCTTTATCACAAATGCGTTGTCCAGTTGTAATTTGCTCGTTGCGCCCCTCCCTAAAACCTCTCAACTCCATGTATGCCGGCCCCTGGATCTCCTGATTTAGCAAAGAACAGAAAATAACAAGGAGGATACTTGTCAAGGGTACAACTTCCTTTTAGGTTTATTTTGCCATCCTCTATTTATTGCTTTTGCTTCTTCATTGTAAGTATATTTTTAGGCCATTTGAAGTTATTGAAGGATTTTAGCTATTTATTAGAAAGTGTGCTAAATCTCTGTCTACAGCAACAAACTTGTGTTACTTGCAATGTAAACTTGATCCATTAAGATATTTGTCTGTGGTTGTAAATAAATTTGTATAAATGTAATTTTGATTTGAATTTGTAGAATCTCTTTTTCATCTCTTACACCAAAATTAGTTAATGTCTGGTGGCCGATCAATGAAAAAGTTTTGTTTTTTTTATTCAAAGATATTTGTATATTTTGATGACTCTAAGAATTACATGTAAATTGCAAACTGACCTAATTGCAAGCAAAGAATATAAGCTACGAAAGTATCTGCTTATACAGTTAAAAATTATGATGCTGAACCAAAAATTATAATTAGTTGCAAAATTACATTAAAATATTTCTTTCTATAAACACGAGTAATTCGTAGACAGTGAAGCTCGTTAAGTAAAGCTACGGAACCCGACTTCATAGAGCTAATTTTGTTAATGAACCTAGAGAGGATGCCAGGTTTCTAGCTCTATCCAGGATATTCTGAAGAGTTGTTCTTGAGTAAAAGAAAATTTCCTGATCTGTTTTGTTTTATGTTACGATATTTCTAGATTCAAATCCATCGAACGCAGATTCCGTTAATTTATGGCGGTGCCGGAGCATATATAGGCATGAAACAGGGAGCCAGCAAACCTAATGATAAAGCTGATTGCTCTCGAAATGAGCTGCTTGCAGTGGCATGGTCAAAGGGGGGGGGGAGTGCGGGGCTCAAGTTATCTTTAAAGGAAAATAATTTATCATAATTACCAATATATGGGAGTTATACAAGTGGAAGGGATATCTATCGATGCACCCTGCAGGATTACCATCGTAAGCATACAAGCAAATAGTTACACAGGCTCGAAAAGGACAGGGACAATGAGCCTCAAAACAGAATATTTTGCTAAAATTGTTTAATTTTGCAATCGTCTGAAGTGGCTTAGCTCACATTAGCAACAAAAAATTTCGTCAGGTAAATTTTTGGTGGATAAACTTGGTCGAAAAAAATTTCGGACAACTTTTCAGGAATTTCGTCGTGACGAAATTTCGTCGTGGATAATTAACACAGAGATCGCAACATACATGTATTACGAAAATCCTAAAAGGCAAAACCATACAGGTTACTTTACATTCAATCCCATAAGTATTGTCTTCGTTGAGACTTGGGGGCTTGAGCAACCGTTTGGAATTTGGCTCAACCCTTAGGCAGCTTTTTTACACAGAACAGCATGTCATGAAAACCAAATTAAACGGTACATTTACTCAATTTATGCAAAAGAGATGTTTCTGGCATTCAAAGAGTCTCTTCTTTATATCTTTATGTTATGAAAAATTATTAACAAAGTATAATTAAAAGTATAAGTTTGAATGTAAGTATAGGATTCGGAAAGCTTAAGACCATCTCTAACAGGAAAAGTTGGTCTGGAAAAATTTTGCTTTCTGTTGTAGAGTTTAAAATTTGGGTTGAAAAGTGCAAATATCCTAAACGAATGAAAGTAATAGTACAATTGAGTATAAAAAGACGGAGGTGGAATCTTTGAAACTGGCGACAAAAGACATTTAGGACAGTAGTGTAGCCAGGGTGGTAAGATTGCAGGGGGCAAGGGAAGTTGGGCAAGGGAAAATAGTGGCCCACGCCCTTTTGAAAGCCAAAAAACGCCATTTTTCAAAGTGTTTTTCCCCATTGGGGGGGGGCGGCACTGAGTTAGAATTTTTTCCACGAACGATGGTGAAAACGTATGTTATGCAATTAGTTTTATGTTTTATTTAGTTTTGTGTTATTCAGTTGCCTGTTCTTTTGATGTTGTTGATAGTTCCGTTGTTTGTCAACTTGCCATCAACATTCCGTGTTATTGTATCATTCAATCGCCACTATTGTTGTCATCAGTCCTTTGTTGTTTGAAGTAATTATTTTGTTATCATAATTAAGGTGTGTTGTCATGTGATTTTTATGCTGTGCCCTTGTTTGTGAATTCAGTCGTTATGTAAAGCCGTGAAGTCAAGTCGTGTCGTATCGTTCAGTTGAAGTCGCTTATAGTTGCGTTTTAAAGTTGCCGTTACATGAAAGTCGTAACCGCCTTCGTTTGGATATCGAATAGAAATTTTGTACATTTTTTGCTGTCCTTCTTTCGTCTACGTTTATCTGTAAAACCTTATAGTTTTACACGTAGTTAGTTCAAAGACTGACAATGATGATGATAATGATGATGGTGCCTACAATAAGGATATTTATGAAGATGATATAAATTAGGAAAACGACGAAATTGACATTGAGCTGATTAAAAGGATCCATAAATTTGATTCCTGACCTCATGTAATCGTTTTTTCTATGCGAATGCTCCAAAATCTTAGATGACAAAAAATTTCGTCGTGACCAAATTTTGTCTCATTTTGAATTTAGTTGAAGAAAATTTCATCAAAATATTTGTCCTGTGCCCTAAACCGATTTTCTTCAGGTTTGATCTTTTTAGTCGAAATCATCCCCTGCCCCTCCCACTTTGGGTCTCCATCGTTATCTGCTCCATGGAGCGGTAGCATGGAATATGCGGAGGCGGAGGAGCCAGTTTGCCCAGTCTGATCTGGACGAACAAGATGGCTTCACGTCTCGTGTGTATCGTCACTGGGGGTGCCTCAGGTTTAGGCAGAGCCACTGCTGAACTACTTGCTCGTCGAGGTGGTAAGGTCCTCATTGCAGACTTGCCAAAGAGCGATGGGGATAACGTTGCCAAAGAAATTGGAGAAAATTGCCAGTTTCAGGCTACTGATGTGAGTATCGATAGGTCTTTCTCATGAACTTTGTTCACCAAACACTGTATGCGGCTATGCTAAAGCAAAATAGAAGTGGCTGCCTTACGCCGAAAGCCTTCAGAGAACGCCTCTGCCCAAAACAGTGACATCAACCCGCACCGAAGATCTTTGGTTGCGCCTTATAGCACCACACTGGCCTTTCTGCCCTTTTGCCCTCCAGCCAGTCTGCATAGAGTGCACACACAATCTTTTTTCAGAGGTTTGTCTAATGCGCACCCAAATGTATGGCTGCAAACACATTTTTCTGGGCACTGCAAAATTTCAAAGGATCAATCTTTTTGAAACATTGGAAAACCTTGCTTTCCTATCTTACCCTCAACAACATATTCTTTGAAGAATTGAAATAAATTTCTACGCTGTATGGGCTATCAGAAAGTTTGTTTTTTTATAAAATGATGATATGTTCACCTAAATAAGCAGCATCAGAACCATCTGATTGTCACAAGTTGAAAAAGTTGCTTTCAAAATGATGTTGGTAATTACATCAGCAATATGGTCATTGTTAGAGCAATAGATTGATGAATAGATTTGTCATATATTTGCAGTGATTCTCAACTTTTAGCGTCTATATCAGGAAAACGAGTAAAAATTTTGCAAAAACAATTTCACCGTACCTTTGAACTTTTGACTGACTACCAATTTATACAAAAATCTCAGAATTTTTTTGGGTTGGAGTGACCCTTCAACCAAGTCAGAAATCATGAATCACTTTGGCTAAGTGCAGTTTTTAAGCAGAATGATTTTTCCAGATTTTTCTCATCCCCTCTTGTTTCATTTTTGAGGAATGGGAATAGCATGGAAGACATTTATTTTCAGGGATGGATCAAGGAAAATATCTACTAAGGGTATAAAAAATATGAGGAAGGGGGTCTGGGGGCACTTACCCAATAAAATGTTAGGGATCAGGCTTTTTAGATTACCATGGAATGGCTATGTATCTCAATTTTCTTCTTTCAAAATTCTTGTGTGACACCATGCTAAATTATAATATGAAGTAAATATTTTGTGAAATGTGCAAAACAAAGCACTTTTACAAGAAAAATGCTGTGCACACATGGTGAGAGCCATTCTTATTGGAAGCTGCATTTTGCCTACTGAAAGTTTGTGCACACTATGTCAGCACTCTTGCATGCATGCACAAATTTTTTAATTGTCCCTGCACCCAAGAGATCTTGTCGAGAACTACCATACTCTGCAGACTGGCCCTCCAGTTTGCATTCCTTAATTTTGCAGAGAGTAAGTTTATTATACAGCAAACTTTGGTGGGATCAGGTCTAGAGAAAAATCTTAAGCAAGGGGAAGGGTTTGGGGCTACCTCCCAGATATTTTGACATCATTGATTTTACATTTCACATTTTCCTAGTTCCGAGTTGACCAGGCCTTGCTTAAGTGTGCGAGTGTGTAAGCAGGGCTGGCAGGCAAACTATGCTGATCAAATTACATCTGCAGGCACATCTGAAAAAGCAGTCTTAGATAGACTTGTTCAAATTTTTCAATTGTTTAAGAATTTAGAGAAACAATTCAGCTACAAGTTTCACCATGTTAAAATTAAGCTTTACCGCTCTGTGAAAGTGATTTATGTAGCAAAAAGAGAATAATAGATTTTCCTAGCAGCAAGAACAAGATGTCCAAAGATCTTGATATGATTATTTATTCTTCTTGCATTGCTGCAGCAAACTATCAGTTGAATCAGTCATTGATTGAAGGCTTCCGTGTAAAAATTGAAGGCTACCAATCTGGATGGAGCGTGCAAAAGATGAACATTGTGATTGCTGTTCATGGTTAAAAGTTTGAAAATGCTGAATTTTTTAATATTTTAACCATTACTTATAGTATCCAACAATATCAAGCCAAAAAACAAACTGAAAACCAATCCACTCGTTTGTTGCTTAAATAAAAGGACGCAATCGCTGCAAATTTTCCCTTCTCTGTTGTAAGCTAAAGTTTTTTTAAAATTCTATAATGCTATTTTTGTTGATAAAGCCATTCACATTCTAAAGTAATTTTTTGTTAATGGTCTTTGCGTAATTAAACTTTACTTTATGTCTTATATTTTAAACAATTTTATATCCTATGCATTGCATATGAAACAAATCTTGCAGGCACTGAGGTCTGGAGTTGATGTCAAGGAGGTCTGGAGTTGATGTTATTGATTTTGAACTTTGCTAATTGAAGACCTTTGTCAAAATTTGACCTCATCAGATTTTAAGTCATCATGCTGAAATTAGTCTATACTGAAAACATAATGACTTTGGTCTCGAGTAACTAGGTTTTTATTAGGAATATTTAGATATTTCTAAAGATTTTACTAGGATTTGCTGTTCAGTGAAATATTGATATGAAGTTTGATGTTTGTTTCTCTGTTATGGTGCTAGCATTAAGCTTTGATAGAGAAGGGTTTCCGTTGACATTCAAATAGAGAAAATGAAAACTAATGGATGAAAAATTTTAAAAATCATTTCATGACAGAGTCTACCCACATTTGTAATATGCATACTTGGATGATACAGATATTAGGAATACAACATGCATTAAAATTGGAAAAATAACAAACATAAAGAGGAGTATCCCTGTTACTAGGGTAGTTTAAAAAAAATATTTTTTTGAAGTTTGAATTTATTTTTCACAAAGCTTGAATTTCAATAGGAACATTTGAATATTCATTATTGTTTGTTAACTTTGTGTTGAATCTTTACAGAATACAGCAAAGATTTCTATATGGTTGCCTAAAAGATACTATAACATGCCTTGTTTGGCCTTTGTGTGCAATTTATGGCATCAATTCTTAATTTTCTCACAAAACCCAGGCAAATAAGAAAAGGGAAGAAAAAGGATTTTGGTAATGAAGTTTAGGCCTTTTGTGAAAAAATTTCCAGAAGGTTGCTAGACAGCCAGCATGTCCTTCCAACTTAATAATAGAAAATAAAGAAGGTCCTCAAGGTCTCAAGGAGCATATAAGGCTGATGTTGATGCATTACATCAAAACTCACACCCATGTGCCTTTTTTCTCAGCTTAAGATGCTAGCTAATCGCACAAGAAATACAAGAGTATGCAAAATTTTGTCTTATGTTTGAGGCATAATTTGCATCCAGTAGTTTATTCTATTCTGAAAAACATATAAGTGGCTAACTAAGTCTTGTGCTTATGGAATTTACAAATGTTCAACTCTTTTATCGTTCTATGCAGAAAATTTCTTATCAGTGGCTTGATTTGAAGTAAAGCTTTGTGGAGAGGTACAGAAGTACCGCTATCTGTTTAATTCTAAGGGATCATAAGGATTCTGGGAAAGTTACTATTTCTTGGACTGAGATTGCATGGCATTAGAGCTACCCATTGATCTTTGCAATAAAAGAAGCTTTATGTATGGGAATCAGTGACAACAAATGCAAATAGCAAAGTATTCATAGGCTGAATATACAAGCAAGTTTTATGTTCTTTTCTTTTCTTTCTTCTGAGCACGTAGAGGTGCAAAATAAACTTTCTTGCTGGTATGTCTTGAAAAACTATGAACCAAAAGATCTTATGGATAGGCATGTAAATACTGAGGAGGGTGCCACACCTCCAATCTTTGAAATTCTTTGAATTAGTCCAAAATTTGAGTGTAATCTGAAAACCGAAGGCTTATTTATGCCAGAAAATAATATATTAACATGATGCTTATGTTTAGAATTTTCTTGATTCTGAAAAAAATGACTGACCTGTATAAGTTTAAGGCTAAGTGCAATTTAAGTAGAAAATAACATAATTTGCTTTTCAAATATGCATGCTTTTCATAATTTGCTCCCCTTTTCAAATTTTGACTATGCTTTTCCCTATAAATCATATTCTCTTTGGCACACTGGCAGCCATGTTTCAAAGCTCATGTTTTATCTTTCCAGGTGACTTCATCCGATGATATAAGAGTTGCTATTCAGTTGGCTAAGGAAAGATTTGGTCCAATTACAGCTGCAGTAAATTGTGCTGGTATTGGCATTGCTGTCAAGACACTCAATAAGAAAGGACAGGCCCATTCTGTTGAAGAGTTCAATAGAGTTCTTCAGGTAATACTTACTTCCATCACCAAATGAACTGTCTTTGATTATGATAATGATTACAAGGAATGATTTTTCCCGAGATCTCATCCTATCTTGCATTTAATAAGATAGTTTGTTAAGAAATATTTATTAAGTTAAGGAATCTTTCTCTATAGAATCTAGAAGTATCTTTAAGGGTTTAAAGGAAAATTGATGACAAAGAAAATATTCTAAGGCTAGTCATGTTAGATGCTAAAAATGCCATTTTGCTTATGAAAAGGTTAGCAGCAATTTTTGTGAAATTTTAAGCTCGTGCTAATGACTGTTTCGCAAAATTTTCTCTCCAGCAACATTTAAAACCTTTCATCAATAACAGACTTCCTGTTATCATTGTCCTTCAAAGAAGAACCAGATTCTAAAGATCTGTTACATTCTTTAGAAGATCACTTTCCAATTCGTTCACCTATCGGTTTAAGCAGATATTGTCTTGATAATATATAGATTTGAACCCATTGATTTCAGATTTTACATTTACCTACTATGTTACAACCAGTTGGCAGGATTGCTTCAATTCTACCATGCTCCCTCTTGCCTTCTCTATCCTTTTTTCCAAACTGTTGCTCTTTTTTCCCTTCTTCTTTAGTAATGTTGTCTTAAGCATTGGGATCAGTCAATATGACATTTAATTGATTATAGGCTTCAAGTATTCAGCTTAATTTTATCCCAGTTATTTATATCATTAAAAAATGAATTTGCTCAGTGTTTGAGATCAATATCTGTTGGTATGACCCTTCCATAATTCCTAACATGTAAAGATGCTACATTTTCAAAACAGTCACACAATTTCTTTGTAACTTATGACTTGGAGCATTGGTGACCTACATATATTGATAGTGAGGACTTTTTAGACTCCTCACTAAAATATCTTATGTTAAATGGTTGTGGATTCTTCATTGTTGCTTTTTACATTCTGACTAAGAAAATAAGCTATTTTTCCCTTTCTAATTTTTTCCCCACTTAAAATTTGATCTTTCCCTTCATTCTCAGTTTCTCTTGTTCCTCAAATGGTTTCTTTTTTGCTTGTTTCACTCTGTTTTAGTTTTTTGCCTGTTTTCCTATAATATCTCGTCTTTTATTGCAGACTTTGATACTGATTAACTTTATGAATCGATTTTTCCTCTGCGATATAAGTAATGTTCGTATTTAGATTAATGCCGTTGGATCATTCAACATGATACGACTGGCAGCTGAAGAAATGGCTAACAACAAACCAAACGAAGAAGGAGAAAGAGGAGTGATAATCAACACGGCAAGTGTAGCTGCATTTGAAGGTCAAATGGGACAGGCGGCCTACTCAGCATCAAAGGGTGCAATTGTTGGCATGACACTCCCAATTGCACGTGACCTTGCAAGATATGGCATCCGAGTTAACACCATTGCACCAGGTAAGCCCAATTACAGTACGGTCTGACTGAACATTCTAAGGGTGCATCGTGAGACAAAATGAACTGCCAGTCTATGCATTTTTCCAGCCTCATTTTGTTGCACAAATTTTTAACACATAAGTCCTTGGTGATTGAATTTCTTAGCAAACCATTTTGAGCACATGGCCAAATATCTAGAACGCAAACATCTGTATAGGCTAGTTATAATTGTTTGCCGTGGAAATGAAATATTTACGTAAAATTTGCAACGTTGCACTATATTGAATACTGTTTCCTAAGATAAACTTTGTGAAAATTGGAAAAATAAGTAGAATGGTCAAATAACAGTGTGAATTAAACAAAGCTGGTGAATATAAAGACAAAAATACAACAAAGAGCAAAGGGCAGTTGAGCCTTTTTTTCTAGCAGATGAACATGCTGTACACTCTAAAGACACTTTCATTGTTAAGGTTATCCCTCGGGACATTTGTTAAGAAAGACTAAGCTTGTGGCTGGAGGGCGAAAATGTTAGCTGAAATGTTTCTCCTCCGGAAGAAGGAGGTCGTACAGGATAGGGAAAAAACACAAAAAAGGACAAAGGGAATGAAATCGGAAGATAAGAAAGGATAGCAGCAGAGGAAAGGAGAAGAAATAAAAAGGAGAACGAAAGATTTATACGGAGCAAGAGTGATAGAAAAAGGAAACTAATGGAAGGAGAAGAAGTAACTCATAAAAAATCAAGGAGGCATGAGCAAGAAATGAGGAAGAAATGTGATTAAAATAGAATGAATTTGAAGTTTTTTTACAATTGGTGTATAATTTTCTTAAGTAATAGGCCAATAGGCAGGAAAAGAAACAGTGAAGCAGATGGATGATGCAAAAAATATTAAAAACGAGCAGAAACAACCAGAGGATGAAAAAAGATAAGAAATAGGGGAAAAGAAAGAAAAAAACATGTTTGAGAAGCAATTCTAGAACCTGGAATGTACCTCAATAAAACAAAGAAAATATTGAAAATTGGTTTGCTTATTTGCCAACGTTAGATAAAGGTTGAGACAGTAATACAAATATGAAGTGTTGTCATTTTGAAGAAAATTCAAGGCCGTATTACTCGGGTCTTTTTAATGTACGACAGACGAAATGCAGTGCCTTCCCGCCGTTACTTCCGCCTTTTTGTTCGTTTTTAAAAGCATCGGACTATTTCATTTTAATAAACAAAGGGCTATTTTAGCTTTATGTCAAATGCAGTCATTATGTCAGAATGACTAAAGCTGAATTCACACTAGAAGCGGCGCGTCGCGGCGCGTCACACAGCGTTTTTCAAGAATGGAATTCAAGCGTTCATATCTAGTGCGTTTCTTTGCGTTTCATTTAAAAAAATACAATAGCAGTGATATTGGACTTGATTTCAGTTTAGGTCTCTTGAGATGAAACTCGGATTTGCTCTCTGTACATTTATTTCATTTAACATTGCCCTGGCTCATTCTACGTTCTATCTTTATCGGGTCAGCGAAAATCTGTTTCAAATAGTCATTGCAAAAAGCTTCGAGGGAAGCATTCTGTGTGACCGTACTCTGCAGTTCAAGAATATTTGTACGAAATAGTGTTTCTTTAGCGATATTGGCTCAGGCACCAATTTAATAGAACGCCATTTGAGTGTTTTCAAAAGCCCGGTCATGCCTCTTGTCCCACTATTGTCTACAAAGAAAGAAGAACAGCTTGCTTACAAAACTTTTCTATTGTTCTGATGCGGCACATAGCGGAAAAGTTGGATAAATCCAACTTTGCCGCATCGTGACGCATTGCCCAAAAAACGCGATGCGCACGCAATACGTCAAAAAACGCGAACCTTATTTGGGCAGCGGCAAAAAAAACGCGTCTAGTGTGAATTGAGCTTAAGTCCTTGATGTCGTCTATGTTCTTGGGTCCAGTTAATGAATCATTTTTGGTATTATCGTACTTGTAACAAAAAGTTAATATGGCAAAGTTACACAACTAAACTATTGTAAAGCACTTTAAAACGGTTTTCCATAGCCCAAGTCGATTTAAAAAGCAAAACAATAGCTAAAACTGTTGAGACTATTGAGAGAAGAAATGCTTCTCGAATCTGCTTCCCAAGTACTTTGTACAACAAGCTTATTGTACGGGAATATATGAAAGTGAACAAGATAAAATGAGAATTCAAAAGCAAAATTCCTCGGAGAAAGATCCTTGATCGCAGGAAAAAGCTCAAAATCTTAGCCGTAAGGCAGCTCTGATTTTAATCCTTCTCAGACTTCGACCGTTCATTCATCCTCACGTACCTGCTCTGTTTGTTTTCATTTGTAGATTTAGATTCTTCAAATCCTTTTCTCGTTTCTTCTTGCAGGCCTGTTTAGAACCCCATTGCTCGCTGGCCTGCCTGAAAAAGTGCAAAACGAACTTGCCAAAGCAGTTCCGTTTCCAAAAAGACTCGGCTCGCCTGATGAATACGCCCATCTTGTTCAGTCGATTATCGACAACGTTATGATAAACGGGACAGTGATCAGAATCGACGGGGCACTGCGTATGCAGCCTTGAACGTGTAAGAAGAAATTTATCAATCCTTGACAGAATTTGATAATTTTACACTTAGAAGAATGCATAACAAATGATAAACGTGTTTCAGATATACAGTTATTTTATATAGAGCAAGTTTCTCTGTTTGTTTTGAAACTCGACGAATAAGAAATCAGCAAGAACAAAAACGCACAGAATTCTACACGATCGATAAGCCTAAGGAGGAGTATATTAAAGATTCACACAGTGTCTAGTAAAGAGCCAGTCCTTTTGAACAATACGAATTTGCCACACTGTACAAAATAAACACACCCAACATCTGTTCAATATGAGAAGCGATTGCCTAGCACGTTCTAACATGAAACATTGATACAATTTTCAGCATGGTTTGCTGGTCTTCTCAACATTCGAGAACCTTCTTTTAGTTGTTTCTGGGCAATGCAGAAGAAGTTTCACTTCCTAAGGCTCTCTTTGAAATACAAAACAAGTACATAATAGTTTTATCTTCATGACTGCAACATTCCCAAGTACCCATCATTCTACAAATACAGGTACTATCTACTTGTAGTGCTAATTAAATGTACTATGCCTGCCAAAAGTCCTTGGAACACCCTGAGATTTCTGTGAATTCGCGTGTTCCTTTCTATTTCCATGTCAACAAGGAGGGTGTTGCCCCCCTTCCCCCTCATACAATGTTGATTCGCTAGCTGAAAACCATAGCTATATAAAATGTATCACTTGTACATGTAGGATTATTCATATTTCCGTGGCACAACATTGTACAAGGGGTGAGAGGATGTTGCAGCTCGTTCACAACGTAAATTATAGCAAGTGTTTCAAGACTTTTGGCAGGCATTGTTACTCCACAGCAGAGCGCTAAAACCAGCCTGTAACAGAACCCTTGGGTCAATTATCCATGGATCTGAGCAACTCTGCTATAGAACGGTAATTCTGATAACCAGGGTTGGAGCAAAATGTTGTGCAGATGTAAAATTTGAAGGCAATCATAAGAACCCTTCCATTCTTCTTTCAATTGTTTTAAAACTGTTTCGCCACAACAAGAGTGTAATGATTACAATAGTAGAGCTATTCAAATATTTAACTACAGGTCTCGTGGCGCAGAAAATTTCTTGATCGTAGTTATTGACTCATAATAAGAGTCTCGAGGCAGAATTTCCCAACAAAACATTGCTTTAGTAAACAATTATTCAAACTCTGAACGGGAAAAAGCAATTTGCACTCATTTTTCTGGCATGTCAAACCTGCATTTTTCTCGTTTTTCTAGTATTGCCGTCCCGTTATTTGACCCAGGTGTTTTATATTTTCAAAGGTTCTGACATTCTCTAAGTAAGCTTTTGTCTTAAAATTTCTCCAGAGCATTTTCTAGACTTTTGCCAAATTGGACCATTATAAATTTTATAATTTACAATGGGCTAGCATTTCCGTCTTTTAGTATATTAATTTGAAGGCAATATTTTTCTCTCTATCTCATTCATCTGTTTAAGATTTACTTAGGTTTAAAAGGTTAATTTATTAGGTTTGATATCTTAAAGAAATCTTAAACATTCGTCAGCCTTTCTTATGCAAGGAATGCTGTCCATTAATTTGATTTAATGCCAGGTGCAAATGGGCATTTTCAAAACATGGAGTTCTAATTGATATTGACATTTCAAAGCAAAGTGTTTAAATATTTTTAACTTCGTCACAATCATAATCATAATCGTGATTGACCCCATTTTTTCATGATCATCCTAATCACCATGATCGTCATCGATGTGAATCACCAATCGTCATTAACCTCGATAATGCCAATCACAATCATGATCATCAAAACTGCTGACTCAATAAATTTTATTTAAAAACGACGGTACGCTGTCAGTCATCATATTCAACTTTCCTCAAACAAAATAACTTCCTCTTTTTATCAAAAGAGGCAACTTTTCATCGTATTGACAAAGTATTCCAGAAACCACCCTTGCGTTAATGTCAGGGCTTGATAAAGTTCTAAAGTCATTAAATTTATATAATGTCGCGCGCATTTCATTATCTATAAATTAAGTCTTCATCCTAAAAGTTAGGGCATTGTGTATAACGAACTTGATCAACCACGGTTTATCGCATTCAGAAGTTAATACTACAATGCCATTTATTTCTTTATTTCAAAGTGGATCGTGAGTTGAGCCATTTGGAATCGCAGACTTTCGGGTGACTGAAATATCAAAACGCCTAAACAGGTTCAGGATGTTAAGATTCACTCTATATGATTTATGATGTTAAGGAAATATTGCAGACTCTTCTAATGTCAAAGATCCTTCTATTTCTACGATGTTGCTTGATTTACATGACGTGTTTTTGAGGGTCTTTAAAAGTTCTTTGCTAGCTTGTCGAACTTCATATAAATGAGAGAACCATCAACAAGACGTGTTTACAGCATGGATCCATTGTATAGCGCTGAGTCATTTTCAACGTGAAGTTCCTGAAGTCAAATAAAGATATAGGTAATAGTAATTTCATTGCAAATACCATTCATTTTTTATCTTCAGATATAGACTTGTACAATTGACCTCTGGAGAGTCCTAGTTTGCTTATAGGCCCAGTTTGTATTGATGACAAAAATTAGGTAGAAAATTAACGAAAATTGTTTCAGTAGTAATGAAAACAATTATTTGTATTGGATCGAGGTCATTTTTCGGTCAGGAGTGAAATGCACGAGGAAACAAGAATCAAACTGAAAGTATTTTGAGCAGATGTGTCTTTAAACGTCCTATGTAATAGTGGAAGGCAGAATATATTTCTGGGACGTTATTTTAATCTTTACAGACATTGTGATCAAAATTCTTCTAGCTCAGGAGATCTTCCTCAAAAAGGACATAACTGTTTTTGAGTAAGAAATCTGGAGATTGGTTCCTTACATACTAGTGCATTACATTATAATTATTTCAGTTATTTTGTCGTTATCATTGGCAAGAGGACATGAGTTTTAATGACAAGGAGCACCATGTCTTTACTTAGAGACATTGTTAAGCCTGAATGGTGTTTAATCCCTGGCCCTTCCTCGGCATACTACAATTTGTACCTGGAAAACTTCAGCTTTCCCGTCTTGAATATGTTGTGGTTGTTCTTGCTGTTCAAGGCTATTCGTACTGTTGTCAGGTTTCCTTTGCAATATTGTCTAGTGGAACTGCCCCATAAAGCCACCCTGGAAGTAGAGACATGGCTCAAGAAATGTAACAAGCTTCAATATAGCGAGAGGGTCACTTAGTGTGCCTAAAGGGATTTACCTGTATATATTTACCATGCGGCAACTAAAGGGAGATTTCCAGAAGAGGGTAGATTCAAAGTTTTTAATTCCTTTGGATTAAGACTTCAGAAGTACATCATTGCTAGAACCAAATGACTTTAAATTAGCCAATAATTTCATCGGCCATCATAAATAGAAGAACTTTTTTCCAGATTACCCACACATTCTGCTCAAAACGTCTAGGAATTTTAAATCAGTTCACAATATTGGTATCTGTTGTCAAGAGCTAGGTCACATCGGCATATGGCTCATTTGGCATTTCTAACGGTGCAGAGTCTGACAACATGAATGGGAATGATATGGGCAACTGCCCAGAATGCATTTCGCACGTAATTGTATAGAGCTGAGTCGAAATTATTATCAAAATGAAAAAATTGTGTTGAAACTTCAGCTTCTAGCCATGAAGAATTGACAGGGACTGCTTGCTGAAGTTATATTAGCTTTTAACACTTAAAAACCCAATCGAATCTAAGAAATAGTTTGATTAGGCAAATTTAAGTAACAAGACAATTTTTGAAACTTGTTCGAATGCAACTGCGTCAATTAGAGTCAAGACTGCTTTCAACGTTTTTATGAAGCTATCTTGATAAACAATGTCTAAATGACCTTTTGTGGTGTAGATAAATCGAAGCGAGCGCATAAGGACCTAGGTTTATAAACACAGCCTGCTTAGATTCTTGTAAAATGAGGTACATCCTGCAAATGGTGTATAGGATCTGAACATTGGACTTAAAAAAATGCTAGAGAGCATTAACGAGAGTTGAAGGTTGGGCATCCCTTCTCCCCAATCAACACCACCCCCCCCCCCAACGCCCTCTTGCCATTCTCGCAAGGAATGCAAGATCGGAGACAAGGCTTTTATCCCTTGAGATAGAATATGCTTGATATCTTAAAAGAGGCTGGGCAACATAGGGGCCAAGCTGTTGCGCAATGTTTAGTCATTTTCAAGATTTTGGAAACACATAAAAAGGGAATCGAAGATAACTCAGAAGGCTTCTGTTGCAGAGTCTTCTTTTACTTTCCCTTAATTTCTATTTACTATTTGGAACAAACCTTCATGCTGAATATAGGTCTCGATACTTTTGGCTAGATGTAGGGGCTACCCGCTTTCCTATGCAATCGTAAACAACTTTTGGGTGTGGCAAAAATATTCGGCAAGGGCAGTACAGAAGAACGTCCGAGAGGAGTGTGGGATCTCCTTACAAAGAAGTTTTTCCCAATAAACGTCGTCACATTCCAAACTCTTAAAAGATCAGAAAAGTAGAGATATTGGCTGCACAATTTTCAAGCTTGCAATATGCAGACTTTGCTATTTTTACTTCTTGAAAAAGGATTCATAAGGGTTGCAATCGACTCAATAACATATTTAAAAGGCATCCGTGTAAATTTACTGCAATATGGAGGGACCATTGTTCTCATAAAAAAATTTCTGGGGGCTCCCATTTTGTCATCCATAAAACCCAATATGGTCATCTATTTAAAGGCGAATTCAACAATAATAGTCTGAATATCAATGGAACCATCACCTAATTCCAAAACAGAGGATGAAGTCGAGATGAGGTATGCATGATAACAGTCACGTCACAAACGTTTTTTGCATGAAACTTATTACGTTCGAGACCTGAACTGGTTCCTAATTGAATGAAGACAAACTTTCGACGATACCAAAGAATTCCTGTGCTCGTCTGTTTCAAAGACCAGTCAATTATACTACAGAGAAACACTGTTTCTGACTTAATGAAAGTTTCGAACAGATGTTTGAATAGAATTTGTCTTTAGCATCAGTGCACTTGCACAAAAAATTGATGGTGTTTTCAAGGGCAGCCATCT